CTGTTTGCGCTTAGACGAAACCCAGTCGCAAAAAATGGCCACATGTTGGGCACGAGTCGCTATTCGGCTTGTCCCGTAATAACACGAGTTCATCTTCCATAGTTTTACATTCAGTTAACTCCCTTGCCTCGGGAAGATGCACGATTTGTTCACTAATGGCCTTCAGAGACATGGAGGCTAACGAAGTGCATTGTGGATGTGCGTACATGTACGTACTTCCGGCCGGAGCAGTTCGGGGTCACCGTGGATTGTTGTAACGGGTGTCCGTCCCACAGTAAACACACCGAGATGCAACTGCTGGTGTCATTCTCCTTTGTCGGTGAAAAACAGTAAATATTTTCTATACGTATGTTGCGTAAGCATCCTCTCAAAAATGTAGCATCTTGTCCCTGTGTAGAAACTGACTGTTATACCCGAGCTTTTGGACGGTAGGGTAAATTGACGGTTAACACGTTCACATTCAGACGAAGACCCGGGTTCGATTCCCCATACGAGTACACTTAAACCTCACAAAACTTCAGTCTATAACCTTTTATAAATTGTTGCTAATGGTTAATATAAACTTAAAGTTTTTTTGCAAAACTGAAAAAAGCCCATTATAATTATGTATTTCATAAAAGTTATGAAATTGCGTCTGTTTGATGCATTCAGACCAGACCAGTGAAGAGAGAGTGAGTGAGTGAGTATGGTTTTACGCCGCTTTTAGCAATATTCCAGCAATGCATGATATCACGGCTGGGGACACCAGAAATGGGCTTCACACATTATACCCATGTCGGGAATCGAACCCGGGTCTTCGGCGTGACGAGCGAACGCTTTAACCACTAGGCTACCCGACTGCCCCAGTGAAGAGAGAACAAGTATAACTCGGAAAATATTATATCCGTTTTAATTTAGTTGGGTTTTTTAGATTTATAGTGTTGTCTGTTTGTTGTTAAAATGCCGCACTCCAGCTATATGACGGCGGTCTGTAAATATTTGAGTCTGGACCAAACAATCCATTTATTGACATCATGAGCATCGATCTATACGTGCAATCGGGATTCGATGACATGCATCAACCAAGTCAGCGAGCCTGACCACCCGATCCCGTTATTCGCCTCTCATACGAGAAGTATGGGTTCCTGAAGATCAATTCTAACCCGGATCTTCACGGGTCAGTTTGAGGGTGCATATCGTGAAGCCCCATTTTTGTGATATCTGGGGAAATATTTTTAAATAATTTTAGATTATGCCAACACTCATTCTTTTCGCCATATATATATAGATAGATAGATATCTATAGATATATTATTCCCAGTATATAAAATTACTATTACTATTAGGCGGGTTTTCCAAATACAGTAAACTACGGTTATATATATATATAGCATATATACAACAAATGGCCGGGACTAAAAAATAAGTTCGTTTTATCGGTAAGTTCGTTATAAGCGTATTCATTATAAACGTAGTTTATACTGTATGGCATAAACTGTGATCGTAACATTCTTTATGGCAACCTAAAATCAGATGACGGTGTCAATGAATTCTTTGTTAAAGCTGCGCATAATTATATTCTGTCGACTAAAAAATTAATTAATGTTTTTGTCTACAATTATATTTGTTGTATATAAAATGTTGCTTGCGTGTGATGATGTATATATCAGACTATACTTTTGAATAAGAAAATATGTTTTAATCAATCTATGTAGTGAATGTAATTTGGGTACATTTGCTTGGTACAACTGATTTTTTGTGATTGGTTTTCTAATGTCAAGTTCAAGAGGTTTTATTGTACTAAAGGCCTCCGGCCCATATACAAAACAAAAGTACAAAGAGATAATATCCGTGAGTACAACACAGCCATAGAAACGCGCTGCGTACAATACACCTGTGCACAGTGGATGTACACAATTATTTTACGAAGTGACGTCACGATACTATATAAGATTCTTGCGCCGAGAAAGTGAATGATGAACAAATAGTGCTAACCTAAGAATTCTAATGTCAAACTAATGGTCGCCCACCTTGATAATACTATCGCAATTAGCTTGAACTACTAACGCTGACAGGCCAAGCCAGATTAGCAAACTCAGCAAAATATACGTCTGTTATCATTCAGAGACCGCAATATACTGCCCTTGTCAATATTCTGATGTGGAACAGCCTGATAACGGTGTTTCTCACAAGGTTATCTGTGTTATCAGAAGCCTGACACTATTTGACCGATTAAGTTTATAAACACGATTTCCCACGTGATGTTTAATTTGAATTAAATTACAACAAATCGAAATTAAAGTCTCATATCAAGGGTAATGTTGACAGAAACATAAATTCTTTAGGTGTCAGGGGAGATCATATATGGTCTCTGGTGTCAGCGATATTTTCGATTCTCGGTTTTGTTTTAAACGTGTTCTTGGTTGTTTTATTTTCGAACAAGATGTTCAGTACCAAGTGAAATATAGGCGATAGAGACACTATGTTTTATTGATATTGTCGGGGGGGGGGGGGGGGGGGGGAACAGGGGAGAACGGGCTAATTAGTGTTACTGTGAAAACATCCCAAATGAAAGTACACAAACGATTATGCCCTGTGAATGGCTGTAAGAAAACGCCAAACGGGGTGATTGAACTCGCGGCACTTGCACTAAAAACCGCATTCCTTTGGTCACTTCTCGACCCTTTCCGTAATCTGAAACATCACCTAAACCTTGCTGATTACAAAATAACACTGTCACGGACGGCACCATTCGTGACCAACTCGTGTTTTTCCGGGACAAGCAGAATAGCGACTTTTTGTGGCCTTTTTTGCGACCAGGTTCCGTCTTAACGCAAACGGGCATACCTAAAACAATTGTCAACTCGTTGCGTAATAGTTCACATATATTTCCCCATGTATTATATGAAGAGCCTAGAGCCATAAGGGCCAATGTCATGTGGAGTCTGTTTTGAGAAAAGTGATGAAAACACATAATATTATGCATGTTAATGAACAAAGTCATTCTTTTACCGATAAATTCCTACACATTAACGCATTCTGACAGCAGAGATATAAATGTTAAAATTGTTTGATAGGCATTACTTAGAAGTTGACGGATGACAAGGTAGACACAATTTTATGGATAACAACTTCTTTAATACTGTGCAAAGCGACGTTTCGGTATAGATCCTTATACTGTTGTAACTGTGTAAAGCAAGACTGAATGAGGGACATAGTACAGAATATATATAGCTGTTTGAGGAGGCGGCTGATGATGTGGGAGGCTTGTCCTATGAACGGGAGGGCGATGCGGAAGGAACAGCAGGCCAACATCGACACCCACTTCACCAGTTCCAGCTCCCTCAACACCCTGCTATAAGAGCTAACGAGAGGAACACAACCACACCCCAAGAGCCTAAAGGTGTAGTTTACAGAATTGACTGCAACTGTGGACAATCTTACGTAGGTGAAATATCCCGCCCAATTAACACCAGAATGAAAGAGCTCGAAACCTCCACCATCAAATCCGACAGCAAATCAGCCATCTCGGCCCATATCAGCAACTGTCCCAATCACAACATCAACCGGGACAACGTCCAAATCCTCGCCAACAACCTCCATGATTTCACTAAAAGAAAACTAACCGAAGCAGTCCACATTCGCCGCCACAAGCCATCAATCAACAGAGATCAAGGCTATTTCATCCCATCCGCCTACTATGAACTCATCAAGCAATAATCACTTATCCTGTTTATTGGCTTCATGTCGCTTTTTGCTTCCACCTATGCGTTCTCTGTCCATCGTGTTGTGACAGCATCATCCCTTTGTTGTCGACACCTACCTATGTTATCCCACTCATGTATGCAATTGTTGTTACTGTTAATCCTCTACTGTTAATCCTCCAACTACTATATATATTCTGTACCATGTCCCTCATTCATTCCAAATTTCAAAATTTCAAAATTACTATATAAGCAACCCCTAAAGCCTCCCTCCTGGGTTGCACAATCTCACTTTTCCCCTTTTCGGAAACACATTAAATGGCCTGGCCGGGCCCGTGTGCGACATACGCTTGCAGCCGGAAAGCGCACGTTAAATCTCCAATAAAAGTAAGTAAGTAACCCTAATTCAGTCTTGCTTGACAACGGTAAAAGGATCTATACCGAAACGTCGCTTTTCACAGTAATAAAGAAGTTGTTATCCATATAATTGTGTCTACCTTGATATAAATGTTGTTATAAAAAACATTCAAAAAAGGAAATAAACTTACGTTTTTAATTTGTGTAAGGGTGGAAAGGGCCAATGTCTGTATTTAGGCCCTTTTTAACCCTCAGGCATTTGCATGGGATTTAACATGTGAGATTGATAAACTGTACTTTACTTAGTACTTAGTACTTTTAAATGATTTAAACTAATGCTAACTTTTTAAAAAATAGTTATAAGGTGTCCAAACTTTCAAAATCTCTCTCAGACAACCAGTCTCAACCACACGGAAATGAGAGCTAAAACGGCCAAAATCTAACAAAGTGACTTTGGCCCTTTTGGAACTTGACTTTGGCCCTTTTATAGAATTTTAAGTAGCTATATTTCAATTACACATCAATATTTTTTTCTACACGTAGACAAGAACTCATATATGTTATTTATGCAATAATATGCAAAAAGGGCCAAAGTACTTTTTGGCCCCTTTTAGCTCTAAGCTCTTCATATATATTTCAGATGCAATTTAAAGCACATCTGGACATGCGGAATTATACATTATGGTTGAACACATTTAACTGTGTCTTGGGTATATTTTTAGATGCAAGACATATGTAAAATCACAATTATTTCTGAGGGAATCTTTTACGAACAACTTGAAATCATACGCGCATTCTGATTGGTTTGTCATATTTTCGCACATTACATTCATCGATAGGGGGACGAGTCTTCTTGCAGGTTACGGAAAGGGGCGAGCGGCGACGAATGGGACGGTACCGGAGAAATCCGAATGCAAATAGAAGATGTCACGTGGTACTGCGAATGTCATGTGATTGTTTGCTTATCACATGCCTCAGTCAAAATGGCAGCTCGACTGACTTGGTTGTGTTTCCTCGTTGTGCTGGTTTTACCAGCAAATGCGTTTGAAGAACCGAAAAGCCGAGCTCCAGTTGCTGCAACTGTAGGAGCCCCATGGCCCCTACCACAAAATATAAAGCAGTCATCGACGGTGTTTACAGTTGATGCACAAAACTTTATCTTTGTAACGACCGGCGCTGCATGCGATATTTTGGATGCGGCATACACAAGGTACATTTCGCTGACATTCGGTCAGGCCTATGCCAGCAAGAACTTGAGGTTCCGGCCACGGCCAGCGGTTGGAGATGGCGTGTTGTCGTCCCTCAGTGTCACCGTCAGCAAACCTTGCCAAGGAGTCTACCCCTCACTGCAGTCGGATGAATCGTGTAAGTTGTCAACTACGCAAAAAACCAACTACGCAAAACAACCATTTAGTCGCTAGTAGGGCCTACTAAATGTAATTATTGCATGATATTACAGCGAAAACCCTCCTACCTGAGTAAGGTGGGCTATGTTGAGTGAATGACAAAGATGCATCAGTGGATTTAATGGTCGAGGGTGTGGAGGTTACCAATTTAAAAATGAAATACCGTATTCGACGTTATAAGCGCCCAGGGCGCTCTCAAAATTAGACATAGGAGGCTCTTATTAGAATATCACTTTGATGAAAAAAACAGAGTTGAAAGATAGATTTCGTGGTTTATGCTGACAGCCTGAAATGTTTATATACAACAGATATATTTTTCCAGAATTTAATTGCCCATAATTGAGGGTGCATATTACACACGAGTGCGTATTATACACGAATAAATAGGTCTTGTGTACATTGATCAATCTGAAGGGGTGCTAATTTGGATTGTTCACTAGCCAATATATTAGCAAATATCGCCGTGGGCGCTTATTAGAGCGGGGCGCTTATTACGTCGAATACGGTAATACTATGAAAGGCCTAAATTTATGGCATTACAAGGCCAGGCCAAATTTAGCTATGTGGCGACTAACGTAATTGTTAATAGGTCATTAATTAATGCTAAGGCCTAAATGACGGAAACTTTGCTACCCGACCAATGCTGCGGGTCTAAGTGGAAGCAATTTGTTGCCTGGTGCAGAAATGGACAATAAAAGGTGATGTACAATGGAAGAGTAAAGGATGGAGGCAATCAGGGCGGGTGGGTCGGAAAGCGTAAAGCGATGTGAGATGCGATGAAATGCTGTCATGAAAGTGATGAGTAGAGACAGTGACGTAAGCAGTTATGACATCACAGAAAGATGATTACGTAACTTCAGAGGAAACACGTGCGATTTCTCAACGAAAGTAGGTGAAATTGTAAACATATGATGATATAGCTGCAATAATAGACAGTTATCAGCTGGTTGTCAAAGAAAGAAGGAAAAACATTGCTACCTTCACAATCTGTGCATTTGTTCGTGCATACTCTACATACTCTAGCTGGTGGGATATTTTGGTAAAAACGATGCAGTGGGAAATGGAATTTTGTGCATTATAATATAGTCTTCTTCTTAAAAATAATTTCTCAGTTAACACGGTTAATACTTTGGTCCATTTAGTTGAGAGTTTTTATAGCTTTTCAGAAATTTTAAGTGTTTAAAACAATGTTTTCAACAATACAAGGAAATAGTGAGCGGTTATTCCATACATATTTCCTTGAATAAGTATTAACAAATTCATTAAATGATATGCAAATCAGATGATTGTTCTAGATAACCTTAGGTGTATACTGAACATATTGCACCATCCTTGAATGGAAATAGAAAACACCAACCTCAAGTGTTTTATTTTAATCGTACCTAACAAAATATGTTCCAACTTCCGTTCTTTGAGGTTAGGACCTCTGATGTTCTCTATTACAAAAAACAGTACTTCTAGGCATTATTTGTGGGTCAACCATTACAAATACAGTGAAAGCATGGATGTTTGTTATGGATCATAAACATTTGTGGTGAAAGGTACTCTATACTCATCACGATACTGGTATTGAAAAAGCATTTCATCTGCTTCAGTACTAGACCTGCTTGAGGGTAATTATAATGTAGACCATGGAAGGTAGTATCAGAATTAATATTACGCTTATACGAACATGGTTAATGTTTCTTTTAAGGGTAAGAGGGGCAGAATGGGTAGCCTAGTGGTTAAAGCGTTCGCTCGCCAGGGCGAAGACCCAGGTTGATTCCCTACATGGGTATAATGTGTGATATTGCTGGAATATCGCTAAAAGCGGTGTACAACCAAACTCACTCACTCAATTTAAGGGTAAGAGGTATTACCGGTATATCGGTAAATTGAGGTTCATTCTTTCCATGATACGTATCACAATATAATTTTTTTTAATGCTTGCGTGCTACTTTTATTGTGTGTTTCATGTTCAGATCTTTATTCAGTACAGTACAGGCCACAGGCCCTTTGTACAAAATGTATGGCATATTTATGGCAACAGTCACAATGATAAAATATGTGTTCTCTCTTCTTTACTGTGATACAGATATTTAGCGATATTAATAATCAGCTTTGTGTTGGTTGTAGATAAAAGAATGTTAAACTTATGGACATGTGGGTGTAAATAATATTTTGAAGGAATAGAGAGATGGCGTAGGTGAGTGTATGCAGGGCACACTAGCAGGTTAATGTTATACACTTGCCAAATACCCAGTGCGTGCATCCGTGCATATTTATTAAATGAGTAAACATTTTGTTGTACCAGCATCTTCTTTGTTCCATTTATTAACTTCAAATCAGCCACTGAATTGCTTCTGAATTCAAAATTTAGAATTATACAATGTAGCGTTATATGTATCGTAATACGGCCTCGTGCATTGTAAAATATTGTGATACACTTTAAACCTCCTGTGCACATCCCAAGTTTCTATAAACTTAAAAAAACCATTAGGTCCCTCCCTCCCACAGGTGGACTTCTTTCATAGGCTGTGTTGCATTATTGCGCGGAAGAATGTCACTGGTTTTGTGTCGTCTACAGTTTTGTTTAATACATGTTTAAATAGAGAATGAAATAGAGGATACAGGATTAAATGGAGACTTATTTTATTTATTAGAATTTACTTCAATATTTTGTATTCCAACTTACCAGGCTTTGCAACATGCGCAATGGTGTCCAAGCAAACAGACAATCCCAACCACTCTAAGAACATATTGGAAATATCGTTTCTTATTCTATAAAAAAAAGTAATCTTTACCTTTCAAGCTTTAGAAGCATTGATACGTGTTTTATACAGATGACCTACAAATCACCCCGGATGGCGCCAGCCTGAAAGCCAATGAAGTCTGGGGAGCGCTGAGAGGCCTGGAGACTTTCAGTCAGCTGGTAACACAGCAAAGTTCAGGAGAGGTAGGCATTGTCAGAAAACTTTTGGGAAAAGATAAACGTTGTTATTTAGATTTTTGTCATACTTTTGTAGGACTGTCATATTTATGATGAGTATGTAAACAAGGTAAACTGGTATGGAGAGTATAATAAAACTATAACTGTCAATTATTGCTTTTATATGTCGAACGAAATGGTTCTCTTACAGTTTGTAGTGATGGAGTCCATGATAACTGACGCCCCAAGGTTCAAGCATCGAGGCATGTTGCTGGACACTTCTCGTCACTATCTGTCAGTCGGCGCTATCCTCAAAAACCTGGTTAGTCACTCTGAAGTGTAATCTATTTGCATCAGATGCTAGGACTTTCTTTTCATAATAATTGGTTTCCATGTCTGTTTGTTTGAATGTATGTATTTAAGTTCAGTTAGTCCTTGGGATGGAACCATAATGGACGCTATCTGGTGGTGAAAACAAGCTCATTGCTGACAGATTTACATAAAGCATGCATCTTTGGGGTGGGTTACATGTAAGATGGCATTCATCAAAATCTGCCAGTAATTCAAAGGTTATGGACCACGTCCATGGTCAAGTGGATGTTCTGCCAGGAGAGCAAATCTTTCCATTGATCCCCTGACTGCATCACACTAAAAGATGTTAAAAGATTGTACTTGTTGTTACCCTGCCTGACTTTCATCATATAGGGGATTAAACAAGGACTGGTCAGCTCAGAGTCGGTGTACTGTGTCTGAGTGTGGTATCCATGGTAAACTGCGCCATGGTATCTCAGTGGGCACAGTCCGGGGTTTGATCCCCTGCCGTGTCATATCAAAAGATGGTACTTGTTGTTACCCTGTCTAGCGCTGTGCAATCAGGGGGCTAAAACAAGGACTGGTCAGCTCAGAGTCGGTATACTGTGTCTTAGTGGGGTATCAATGTTAAACTGTGGCTTGTATCTCAGTGGGCACTGTAAAACTGGCATGATTCCAGGCTAGTACAAGCAGCCACACACATGCATGCTCGTCACAATATAAATGCAATAATCTGAAACGTAACGTTAAACCCCATTTCACCTTGCTGCAAAGGTCAATGATACATATGTTTATTTTTGGGATGTCTTGGTAACATAGTAGTGTGGTGATAGACATGCTCTCTTATGAAGACCATGCTTTCAGCTCACCTTGAGTTGAAGTTTGTCAGCCAGAGCTAAGGTTATGGGTCCTCGTCTGAAAGTTAGCACTATTACTTCAAAATCTTTTTTCTGTCACCTATAAATCAAGATCACACCATAGTAGAAATGTGTAAAAAGATTACAAATTTTGTAATAACTCTACAATGATTTGTTAATGGGTATGCCATGTATACCTGAACTTCATATTTACTAGTAAATATAAGATAGCTACAGGATAAAGGGCAAAGAGCAATGAAGAACGAAGCATGGTTTATGACTTTATGTCACGATAAAACATTGTTCTATCATGACCTCATTTCTGGAGATTCAAACATGCGCTTGCAATTTGATGATGTCATATATGAGATGACAATATTTTGGAGAGTGAAGTGTCTAGTGAGTTGTAGCTGGGCTGAATGATCGCATCCAAAAGTGGGAGAGATATGACAAATTGTATTAAGAGAAAAGATACAGATGATCTACGCGACGATTGTGAAAATATGCGGGAAATACCAAATTTAACTCCCCTGTTCATTAAATGGATTTTGCTGAGGTCAGATTCTGTTCAGGTAGTCATCATTATTAAAATTAAGGTAACTAATTTTGAAGCTTGTAAATTTTATCAACAACCTTAAAGAGGCTGTACTTAATGTTGATATGCCAAATAAGAAATAAACAACTCATGGTCATTGTTTATCATACAATAGAACACTGCAGGGAGAATAAACAACTCGGGGATGCTCCCTGCTGTGTTTTAATGTACAATAAACAACTCCCAACTGTGTCTTTTATTTCTTAAATAAGAATTTTAATGGACTAGTATTCCCAGACAAAGTAGACACAATTTTGGGATAACAACTTCCTTAATGTACTGTTATAGCACCACTTCGGTATAGATCCTTATACCCTTGTCAAGCAACACTGTCGTGCAAGGAATACCTACATTGTCATCCTTCAACTTCTGAGAAATGCGGTCGGTGGAGTAGCCTAGTGGTTAAAGCATTTGCTCGTCGCACCGAAGACCTGGGTTCAATTCCTTACATGGCTACAATACATGAAGTACATTTCTGGTGTCCCCTGCCGTGATATTGCTGGAATATTGCTAAAAGCGGCTTAAAACCGAAATGCTTATCTAACCATTCATGTATTCCCCAAAATGCGTCATGTTTTTAACATTTTCCTGGTACATTAATGAACATAATACTATTTCTGGTGGACTCTTCTATTTACAACCTACCTTGTGGTGCTTCCAGGAGGCAATGTCCCAGAACAAGTTCAATGTGTTCCACTGGCATATCGTAGATGACCAGGCCTTTCCCTTTGAGAGTACGGCCTTCCCAGAAATGAGTAACAAGGTAAGGTATAGTCCCTGCTTTAGTTGGTAGCCAATCAATAAGGGGATAAGTGCTGTTGCCCCCCTGATGCGGCAGACTAGTGTGACAACTACAGCATGTACAGTAGTCATGGTTGTTATTGAACATCTTGGCATGCATATTGTAAAGCTTAGTGTCATACCTGGGAGCATGTGTCGGCAAAAGTGCTGGAATTATCATTATGAATTGTCTCCCTTAGTCATGACTGGATCTGCTGACCTTTGCTGTGTATCCCAGATTCACCCTGTCAGATCTACACCAGAGCTTTTGTGTTACAGTTGTATAAAAATACTAAGCATCTTAGTATGTACAACCTGCATCTCTTATGGTTGTCCTCATACAAATACTTGCTGAGTACCTTTAGAACCAGGTCTCTCGCTCTCCGAGTCTCACTCTATCCTACCCTCAGGTATTCATGTGTGGAGCCCATTTCTGGTGCCCCCCCCTGTCGTGATAGTGCTGGAATATTGCTAAGAGCGGCATAAAGCCATACCCACTCACTCACTCACTCACTAAGATGAAATCCATCCTGATATGAGTACAATGTGTGACCTTGGTGATTGTTTGTCATTGTACCCCTTTGGCAAGGATTGTTACTATGGTTACTCATCATGCTCAGTCTATCAGCCATTGGTTTAGCTGTGTGTCTTCTCGTGTGTTTCAGGGAGCGTACAATCCGGAGACCCATGTGTACACCCAGGCTAGCATCAAAGAAATCATTGAGTTTGCCCGGCTGAGAGGAATCCGAGTAATGCCAGAGTTTGATTCACCAGGTTTGTAGGTTTATTTCTATCTTGAAGTTAGAAACAGGGTGACGGTGGGCATAGTCATCTTAGGAACCACAATTCACTGTGCAGTGTTGCGTACCTTGGACATACCAGAAATCTATGACAGTGGGTTCGATTCACGGTTCATCCCGATTATGTTTGTAGGTTTGTCAGCACCATACCCATGCTCATGGGTTTATCAAAGTGGTAAACATCTGAGACCTGCATCACTTTGGGTTTTCGACCCGTGAAGATTTAGGGTAGAATACTACTTCAGAAACCATGCTTGCCATTAAAGGCGACTATGCTTGTCGTAAGATGAGACTAACAGGATCGGGTGGTCAGGCTGGCTGACATGGTTGATGCATGTCAAGTACATGTATCCTAATTGCGTGGTTTGACGTTCATAATGTCAATCGCTGCATTGTATGGTCCAGACTCGATTATTTACACACCACCATCATATAGCTGGAATATTGCTGAGTGCAGCGTCAAACACAAAATACAAACAAAACAAACAAACAAAACACTTTGGGCTTTCCTCCTATATTAAACTGACACGCTGTGACTTAACATGAACACTGTACAAAGCAGTGTTATACAAAACTCACTCACTCACTCACTCACTCACTCTCTGAGGTTAAAAACGCTTGCTTTCTTGTTTTACTGAAGGATATAAAAAAATCCATAAAAGTACGAGCAAAGCAATGACAGAAAGTTATATGGTACATTGTTAATCCATTATCACTTGCATGTTCCTTAGAAGGGGTAAATTTGTTAACTGGGGCTAAAACTAACTTTCTCTCACTCACTCATAAGCCTTATTTTATCCCCCTGGCATGTAATGCGGGGGGATATAGTCGTCATCTTGTCAGTCTGTCTGTATTTCAATTTCAGAGCATAACTTCAAAGCCGTGAAAATGTTTTCATCGAGACTTGGTACACGAATTAACCAGGGGCTGGTGGATTTTGCTATTTAAGAATTTTTCAAAATTTAATTTTTCCATGGGAATAAGTTAAGACTTAGCTGAAACGGAGGTTGTTGTCTTTTCAGGAGCAGAACTAAAAAACTATTCAAACTTCATCCAAACTTGATACACGTACTGATCAGGGGCTGAAGTAGTGTCTTTTGCTATTTAGGAATTTTTAAAAAAATATTATATTTTCCTGTTCCCATGGCAACAAGTTTGACTTTGACTGTTCATATCGGTGTGCTTGTCCAGACCATATCTGTAAAACTGTGCACACACAAAGACCAGGTTGCCGACTGGTGCCTTTTGCTATTTAGGGATTTTTAGAGAAAATTTTTTTTCTGTTTCCATGGCAACAAGTTTGAAATTGACTCTGTTCTTATTGGTGTGTACCTGACAGAGAAATACAAAGTTCTGAATCTCAATTCCATGGCATTGGTTTGATATCTTAATAACTACTCTTGTATACGGACAGACAGACTAAACATACATTCTCTCGTTAAGTTGGACGTAAAGTAATAGTCAGATGATTTGTTCTTTCGACTTTGTGGGGGCTGGGGTGATTTTGTCATCTTTTTTAAATTTTTGATGACATCTTGTTTAGAATCTTTTCATCAGTTACTGCCATCAGGTTTACAGTAGACATGTGACAGCTCTGCCTCCTGTGTATTATGGTAGTTTTACAACTAGTCACTGATGAGTTATTTCCCTTTTGTGAAGGTCACAGCCAGTCCTGGGGAAAGGCCATCACCAATCTTCTGACCCCTTGCTACAGTCACGGCAAGCCAGACGGGTCGTTCGGACCCATCAATCCCATCCCAGAGTCCACCTACACATTCCTGAAGACCTTCTTCCAGGACGTGGGAACAACGTTCCCCGACCATTATATCCACATGGGAGGGGATGAGGTCTCTTTTACGTGTTGGTGAGTTCAAGGATAAGGTCCCCTTTGTGGGATAGTATGCATGTCTCCAGAATAAGGTCTCCCTTGTTTGTAATACCTCCAGGACAGGAACTCCTTTATAGCTTAGTAAGTGTAGCTCAAAGCATGGATATGCTGGTAAAATTCGCTTGAGAATTGGGTCACCTTGTATGTTAGTAAGTATGGCTCAAGGATGAGGTTTCCTTGGTTTGTAAGTATGGCTCAAGGATGAGGTCTCCTTTGTTGGCAAGTATGGTTCAGAATAATGAGGTCTCCTTGGTAAGTGTGGCTCAGAATGATGAGGTCTCCTTTATTGGTAAGTGTGGCTCACATTGATGCGGTCTCCTTTGTTGGTAAGTACAGTTCAAGGATGAGGTCTCCTTTATTGGTAAGTATGGCTCACAATGATGAGGTCTCCTTTGTTGGTAAGTATGGCTCAGAATGAGGTCTCATTTGTTGGTAAGTATAGTTCAAGGATGCGGTCTCCTTTGTTGGTAGGTATAGTTCAAGAATGAGGTCTCCTTTGTTGGTAGGTATAGTTCAAGGATGAGGTCTCCTTTGTTGGAAAGTATAGTTCAAGGATGAGGTCTCCTTTGTTGGTAGGTATAGTTCAAGGATGAGGTCTCCTTTGTTGGTAGGTATAGTTGAAGGATGAGGTCTCCTTTGTTGGTAGGTATAGTTCAAGGATGAGGTCTCCTTTGTTGGTAGGTATAGTTCAAGGATGAGGTCTCCTTTGTTGGTAGGTATAGTTCAAGGATGAGGTCTCCTTTGTTGGTAGGTATAGTTCAAGGATGAGGTCTCCTTTGTTGGTAAGTATAGTTCAAGGATGAGGTGTCCTTTATTGGTAAGTATGGCTCAGAATGAGGTCTTCTTTGTTGGTAGGTATAGTTCAAGGATGAGGTCTCCTTTGTTGGTAGGTATAGTTGAAGGATGAGGTCTCCTTTGTTGGTAAGTATGGCTCAGAATGAGGTCTTCTTTGTTGGTAGGTAAAGTTCAAGGATGAGGTCTCCTTTGTTGGTAGGTATAGTTCAAGGATGAGGTCTCCTTTGTTGGTAGGTATTGTTCAAGATGATGTGGTCTCCTTTGTTGGTAGGTATAGTTGAAGGATGTGGTCTCCTTTGTTGGTAAGTATGGCTCAGAATGAGGTCTTCTTTGTTGGTAGGTATAGTTCAAGGATGAGGTCTCCTTTGTTGGTAGGTATTGTTCAAGGATGAGGTCTCCTTTGTTGGCAGGTATTGTTCAAGGATGAGGTCTCCTTTGATGGCAAGTATAGTTCAAGGATGAGGTCTCCTTTGTTGGCAAGTATAGTTCAAGGATGAGGTCTCCTTTGTTGGCAAGTATAGTTCAAGGATGAGGTTTCTTTTGTTGGTAGGTATAGTTCAAGATGATGTGGTCTGTTTCTGTGTTGTTGGTAAGTATGATTGAGTTGTGATACAGTCCCTTCAAGTTGGTTACCTTCTGACCCCCGTGAAGATCCAGGTTAGGATTTGTCTTCAGCAACCCATGGTTGTCTTAAGAGGAAACTAACAGGATCAGGTTGTCAGTCATGCTGACTTGGTATCCCAGTGATGACTATGTCATCGTATCCCAAGTGTGTAACACAATGCTCATGATGTCAATCACTGGAGTTCTTTGCTGAGTGCAGCATTAAACATTAAACAATGTTCCCCCTGAGATGGTTTTACTGCCAGTACTCCCCACTGTCTTGGGGAAAGTGCCATGTATATGTCGTCTGAATCCTGACTCCGTTACCATGGTTACCATTCCTTCTTCAGGATGAGCAACCCCAACATCACAAGTTTTGTCCAAAAGATGAACTACACAAGCTATGGACAGGTGGAGCAATACTACATGCAAAAGTGAGTCAAAGAAAGCCTGGCTGTGGTTCTGGGTCATTTATCAAAATGTATGTGTTAGAGCTGGCAAAAAAGATCGAAATATTAAGAAGAAATATTAATGATTATCGATATGAAAATTGTGTCATCGATAATACCTTAACTATGGTAATGAAATAAAGTTTAGATTTACCAAAACAGACTTGTTATTGTCAATAATGTTAATTGCTGAAGATGGAAAGTAACTGTTTTTGTTTCATCTCAAATGTCCACAAAGTAATCCATGCATAAATGTGCAACCACTCAATATGTCGATTTCTTTAGGATTTTGTTTTGCATATTTGCTCAAAGATACTTCGCCGATATTTATCAATCATTGATCGATATTTGGTTAACGATTATTCATCTCTGTGATCTGTATCGATAGCCAGCCCTAGTGTGTGTTCCATTCATAAGTGTCTGCTTAAGGTTATTACATAATTGCAGTTGATATTTGGAAATATTTATGACTGAACATTAAGGGTCCATAAAAGATTCTGCAGAAGAATGTTCTTTACTGTTAAAACCTATTAAAATTCAACCAAGATTGAAAAACCAATTTCACTTTTGCTGTGCGTGAAGCCAAGTCTTGGTGTCTCCGGCCTTACAATGGCTGGTCTACTGCTAAAAGTGTTGTAAAACTCTATTCACTCACCCACTCACACAATCTTGTAGGCTACTGAATATCATCAACGGTCTTGGCAAGGGCTATCAGGTCTGGCAGGAAGTGATCGACAATGGCGCCAAAGTGAGTACTCCATTACCAATATTTTGCTTGATGTCTTAGGACAGCTAATGATAACAACCTCAATGACTGCTGAGATGTAAAGTACCATTTGGGGCAGTCGGGTAGCCTAGTGGTTAAAGCGTTCGCTCTTCACGCAGAAGATCTGGGTTCGATTCCCGACATGGGTACAATGTGTGAAGCCCATTTCTGGTGTTCCCCGCTATGATATTGCTGGAATATTGCTAAGAGCTTCGTAAAACCATACTCACTCACTCATTAAAGTACCATTTGAAAGGGGAGTTTCAAAACCTTTTTGCAAGAAGTATAGGCAATGTAGTTTCACATTCTCCAGATCTTCAAGCTAATGAAATTCCACTCCATCTGATTAGATCTGCCAGGAAATTGTTGTTGAAATGAAAGACCATCAAACAGTGTTTGAAATATTTTTAAAACCCAACAAAACAGTCAGACAGGTGACCCATAAAAGTTGCCTGCTCTTCAAAGCTACCTGCCCGCATTCTGACATTATGAATTTTGAAAAATTGAGAAAACATATGAGACAATTCACGTCTTGATTAGGTTGAAATTACGCAAACAAGTACTTAAGAATCTACGAGAAGTTAGGATAAGACTGGATGTGTAAGTAGTCAGCTCAAATGAATAGTTACCAGCCACAGGCAGGCGGGCAGGCAGTTACTTCGGACACTGTCGTCAGATAGATAGACGTTTATATGAAGTTGAAACAATACCCTGTAGTTATGTCGTACATGATGACATTCAGCAATATATGGTCCGATCCATATGTTGTCTTAATTACATGAAGTCCTTGAAGCACTATTCAGTTTAATCATATATTTGTGTAATCTTGAAATAGAAATATTAGCATGAACATTTATCATAAAAAGGTGAATTTTGAATAGAAATAAAAATTTTCCTCTGTTATATCTAAGTTTGAAACATTAGCATGTACAAACACCGACGTAATGTATCGTGAACAAATTATGCTGCTTCAGATTGCATCATGACAAGGGTGTATCGTTTCAGCCCTGTTGAATATAAGGAAAACTAATGTGTTGTGGTTCTTGTTTCTGTCTGGGCTGTTTTCACCTGCATGGAATGTGCCAGGGATCATATTATCCAGACATTGTTGTCATGATGTGGGACTTGCTTGTAACCATGGTAACGGTAGAAGGATGTTGTCAATACGAGCATGAAATGCCCTATTAGTATAAAGGTGCATCAAGACACAGTTGCCAAGGTGGGAGACAGGTAACCATGGTAATACTATAAGGTAACTCCTTATCCAATGTACTCCTATAAAGGTGCAAGCAGACACTGTTGCCAAGGTGGGAGACAGGTAACCATGGTAATACTTTAAGGTAACTCCTTATCCAATGTACTCCTATAAAGGTGCAAACAGACACTATTTCCAAGGTGGGAGACAGGTAACCATGGTAATACTTTAAGGTAACTCCTTATCCAATGTACTCCTATAAAGGTGCAAGCAGACACTGTTGTTGAGGTGTGGAAGGACCCTTGGCCCGCGGAGATGGCTAAAGTCACCAAGATGGGCTACAATACTCTCCTTTCCACTTGCTGGTATCTCAACTACATTAGCTACGGCTCGGACTGGACAAAATACTACGCCTGTGATCCATTTAACTTTGATGGTAGGATTGTGTGGGGAAACTCTCTCTGACTGGGTCAGGGGGTGGCACAGGATCAGTCTGATGCTTAAATCAGTGAAATGACTAAATCAGAGTACTAAGATATGCAGAAACTTCATCCTAAGATGCTGCAAGATTCATGAATGGCAATCTCATTAAAATCAGATCTTAGTTCTCGCTTTCGCTGAACAAAGATCTGAGGACATCCCATTACGGGTCACATCAGAACGACCTTTCATGCGACCAATCAAAGCGTCGCTTACCAAATCATGAAAGTGACAGTCGGAATGTGTTTTCTAATCATGCAAACTCGAAACATTAACACGGGATATTCCAAACGACAGTTGCAACTGATTCCGTCAAAATTATCGTCTATCTCTCGCTTCCTTGAGATAAACATTTGAACAGAGAAGGCGTTGCACAGTATCTCAACCATACATTAGACATTCCAGAATGTTCGTTTGTTCAGTTTTGATTGAGAACTGGGTCACCATATTTTTCAAGCGTAGTCTGAAATGGACATCGCCAGGTTGATACGTGTGCCATAAAGCTCGAGAAAGCTGCTTTCTAATTGGCTGATGTCGACTTCTTGTTAGTCATTTCAGTGGTCGGTCAAAGTTCGCAAAAGGTCGTTCTGATGTGACCCGTAATGGTATGTCCTCACATCTTTGTTTAGGGGCAGCGAGAACTTAGATATGATTTTAATGAGATCGCATTAATGGTAGCCAAATTGTGGGTGACGAGGTAACCTTGAGATATCATTGTGTGATTAGTTGTACACGAGAAGCAGAATCAAACTGAAATGCTCCCTCCACCTGTGTCAGGCCTTCGCTGTTCTACAAAGGTACTTTGTGAAAATGAGCCTGGGGCCATGCTCCCAAAAGGAATGTTAGCACAATGACTGTCATAACTAACATTGTTTCACATCTTCATATCCACCTGTACACTGTTCTGGATTGGTTCATGTTCCATGCATCAATTCATCACCAACACTTGATAGAGGAGGAACTCTTTCCTTCGCTGTAGCTGAAGACTGCGTGGTAGATATGACCGGCACTTGCATTTGTACTTACACAGATGTATGGGTTAGGGTTCACAAACACACCTCGATGGCCAAGTAATGTGATTCTCTCACTTCATCCGCAGTGGAAAACTGATTTCACTAGGAAATGCCATGCGGAAATGTCTTATGGATGTGACACACACCTGTGTCCCGGTATTCACCCATCTTCCCAATGCAGGAAGTCCAGTTTCCACCCTTGCCAAACTAGGCTGTAACTTAAGTGGCTATTAAGAGTTATGTCCCTTCCTTTGACTAATCAGATCCCATCTCTCAAATGACTACTTGCATTTGCTTCAAACAAAACGGTGGCATCCCGTCAAGACAATCTGATTCAAAAATCAATATTGTAATAAAACAGGTCTTGCTTTGCGAAGAGCATCAAATCATGTGAGCACCTTGTTTAAAAACATGAAAAGATTTGGAAAATATTTGATACATTTGAGTTGACAGTACACCTGCTTTGCAAATCCTGCAATCAACAGAAATCTGCATGACAGTTTACAAACCAGATGTCGATTTCGTTATGCAATTTTGATTGGACTATGCATAGACTTGTTAGTCCAGCCAAAATATAACTCCATAATTCCAGCCTAGTTTGGCAAGGATGGAAACTGGACTTTTGTAGCCAGTTAACTCCCTTGCCTCGGGAACAAGGTATACACCACCTATTCAGATGAGATTGGGAACAAGTTGTAGATGTTCTACAGGTGCGACCAGACACTGGTAGAGATGCCCTCTTCGCTGAAGATTGTAGGTGTAGCAACACATAAACAAGTGTTTGTCAGAATATTCTCGCAGGTGCAACATGACACACTGGATGAGATGTCCTTTGAACCTGAAGGCTGTTTGTGGAGAGACAACACATTCACATTATCTGTCAGTATATGCTCCCAATGGTGTCCACCTTCCGCAGGTGCGGCCGGACACTGTAGTCGAGGTGTGGAAGCAGCCCTGGCAGCAGGAGATGTCCAAGGTCACCAGGATGGGCTACCAGACTCTCCTGTCCACCTGCTGGTACCTCAGTAGAATCCATTATGGCCAGGACTGGCATGATTACTACCAGTGTGACCCCTACGACTTTGATGGTATGCGTGCATGCTTCTGGGGTTTTCCACCAGCACTGCTATTGGTAGCCTCAGACATAACAGCATACAACATATTGACACATACACTTGATTAGACTCCTAAATTTCTAGAAAGGCAAAGTGGTCTTTGCTCACATTGATTAAACATCACATTTATGTCTCAAGATGACTATCAACAGTAAGATAAATCGTTTGATAGGCATTACTTAGAAGTTGAGGGATGACAAGGTTGACACATTTTATGGGTAACAACTTCTTTAATTACTGTGAGGTCGACGTTTCTGTATAGATCCTTATACCGTTGTCATGCAAGACTGAATGATGAACATGGTACAGAATATATATAATAGGTGGAGAATTAACAGTAGATGGTTAACAGTAACAACAATAGCGTACATGAGTGGGATAACAGGAGTAAGTAATGACAACAGAAGGATAATACTGTAACAACATGATGGACAGGGAACACATGATGGACAGAGAACACATGATGGACAGGGAACACATGATGGACAGGGAACGCATGATGGACAGGGAACACATGATGGACAGGGAACACAGGGAACACATGATGGACAGGGAACACATGATGGACAGGGAACACATGATGGACAGGGAACCCATGATGGACAGGGAACACATGAAGGACAGGGAACACATGATGGACAGGGAACGCATGATGGACAGGGAACACATGATGGACAGGGAACACATGATGGACAGGGAACGCATGATGGACAGGGAACGCATGATGGACAGGGAACACATGATGGACAGGGAACACATGATGGACAGGGAACAGGGAACACATGATGGACAGGGAACACATGATGGACAGGGAACACATGATGGACAGGGAACGCATGATGGACAGAGAACACATGATGGACAGGGAACACATGATGGACAGAGAACACATGATGGACAGAAAACACATGATGGACAGGGAACACATGAAGGACAGGGAACACATGATGGACAGGGAACACATGATGGACAGAAAACACATGATGGACAGGGAACACATGATGGACAGAAAACACATGATGGACAGGGAACACAGGGAACACATGATGGACAGGGAACACAGGGAACACATGATGGACAGGGAACACAGGGAACACATGATGGACAGGGAACACATGATGGGGAAACCGATAAGACAGGAAGCCAACTGAACAGGATAGGTATACATAGGTGGGGTGAACTGTAAAGGCGACCTATGTATACCTTTCCTATAACCACATTCACAAGGTGTATGAATATTTTGTGATTTGTTGCATGGTGATATTTATTGGAGTGCTTTAATCTGCGATCTGTTTGTGCTTTTTAAAATGAGATATTATGTTAATTAACTGAGTACTCTGATTTAGTCATCTTCACTGTCAAGTACCATCATAATTCTGTTAAAACAAACAATAAGACTTAAACAAGCTCCATTGGGGTTCCAGGATAAAATTGGATCCCCGTAACCTTTGCTCGTCTTCAGAGGCAACGGAATCAGACAAAACTGTGGATTGGTTGTCAGTAACACGGGTGATACCCATAATATCAACCACTGGTTTGGCTGGTCCAGATTCAGTTTTTTCCAGACCGACACCATACAGCTGAAATATTGCAGACTGTGGTGTTAAATGTCATTCACTCGCTTAAGCAAGCTTAGTCTTGAGACTAAACACAATTTCAATGATAATCAATGCTTGCATTTTCAGGATTTATGAATACTTTGATATATTAGAATAATTATGATATGTTCATGATGTTAATGTCTTAGTATTTTCTTCAAATGATGTTATGTGTGAATGATCTTCTTATTGAAGCAGGGCGGTGGGGTAGCCTTGTGGTTCAAGAGTTCGCTCGTCACGCCAACTACCTGGGTTTGATTCCCGACATGGGTACAATGTGTAAAGCCCATTTCTGGTGTATCCCGCTGTGATATTGCTGGAATATTGCTAAAAGCGGCGTAAAACCAATTAACTGACTCACTCACTTACCAACTCTTAATCTGTTAATGAAGCTCATCAAATGAGTGAGTGAGTGAAAATACAATGTTTATTCCTAATACAGGATATTAACCATCCCTAAACACACTTGGGTGATAACCTCATTGTACATGTATGAGGATGTGGCTGTAAGTGAAAATATTGTTTCCTATTGACATGCACAATTAATTGTTTTTGATGCAGAAACTGACAATGTCTGATCTGTGGGATGTGTTTCCAGGTTCCGCTGAACAGAAGGCCCTGGTAATAGGAGGCGAGACTGCCATGTGGGGGGAGTATGTCGACGACACAAACCTCCTCTCCAGGCTTTGGTAAGCAAACATCCATCATTCATTTTCATGGTCTGAATCAGCTTGGGTCAATTCCTTAAAACAGGAATTGGTTAATCTAACAATTAAAACAGGAATTGGTTAATCTAACAATTTCACTTCCTCACTGTGAAACTGTCAGGATTTTGTCAATTAAATGACTGTGCATATTATTGTGTTCCAAGTTGCTTTTGACATGATCTTTTCATATGTTAGGCTAAAAAAAAAAATAGTACCACCGGCATCATCATAAAGTTTCGCTTTTATTTCCATTTTCAAAAAAATATATAATCCTAATGCTTAAAAACAATGTGAGCCAATGTAGCACACAGTTACCTCCCTTTACATGGGCACTGCTTTACTGCGCATCTCGTGCCATGGTTATGGCGTCAACAGGAGTTTGTATGCTTGTTTATGTAGGGAGGCTCTTTCCCAGGTTGATGGTACACAACAGTTTAAATGGTTACATACTAGTTTAAACAAGCCAAAAAAATAAACACACACCATCCATCCGCTCTATATTTTCAAAAGTCATTGCCTGAGATCCAATTCTTTAATTCTTTTAGGTCTTATCAAACACAAGGAAGAAGCAATAAATTTGGTACATATGTAGTTAGGTTTGAAAATGTTTTTTTGGCAATATTTTAAATTGTGACCTTGATTGTCTTTTGCATATCTGAAAGCTATAACTTCTTATTGTATTTACTCAGCCATCTTTGATCAAAATGTAATGAAAGTTTTGTTATTATGTAGCTGGGTGTGGGGCTCAACATGGATGTCTACCTGTTGACAGTTTACGCTGCTGAATACGTAATGACCTGAGCCACAGTGCCTTGGCACTATTTATTACTTATCATATTAATGAAATTAATCTTCACTCCCCTTGTTATCATGGAAACTAGAAGATGAAGTCTGCAAGCAGTCTCGTAATTAACCTGTATTGTTTCATCCCATGTGGAGTCCGGGTTAAAATAGGTCTCCAGCAACCTATGCTGGTCGTAAGAGGAGACTAAATGGATCTGGTGGCCAGACTCGACTCGATTCAGTACATTATTTTTTTCCGTTTCAGGCCGAGGGCCTCTTCAGTCGGTGAGAGGCTATGGAGTGCCCAGAGTGTGAACAGCACCAGCGCCGCGGAACCTCGTCTTATTGAACACCGATGTCGTATGGTCAGGTACGAGCTATCTTTTTTGTTAGTTTGAATCATTATTCCCCGCAAGTGGAATGGGTGATGTCCGTCCGTCTTTCTGTCCTTCCATCAGTCACGTTCAATTCTGGAGCAGAACTCAAAAACCATGAGAGATATCTTAACCAAACTTGGCACATAGATAGGACTAGTGGTGAACTGGTGCCTTTTGATAGTTTGGGATTTTAAAAAAATTCGAGTTTCCACAGCAACAACTTTGACTTAGACTGAAAATGGCGGTAGTCCTCGTTTCCAGAGCACATCTTGAACACTGTACGCTATTTCTTCACCAAACTTGGCACATGGAAAAGTCTAGTGGTGAACTGGTGCCTTTTGATAGTTTGAGATTTTTGAAAAATTTATTTTTTGAGTTTCCATGGCAACTAATTTGCTTATGATAATGGCGGTTGTGCTCATTTCCGTACAGTATTTCTTGCCTTGCACACAACTGAACATGTCATATTGACAGGGCATTTGAGTACTTCATGCTTGTTTCATGTAACATTTGGAGTTACAGTCTGTAGCTTAGTATTTACATCACATTTATCGTGATAAAACAAGACATAGTTGATGATGTCATCATTTCAGAAGTGCACAACTCAGAATATAAGACTTAGATGTTTGAATGTGGGTTATTGGTAATTCTTTTATGTTTAGGTGATATTTTTTGTTTGTCAGCAAACTAGGGAAACAATAAGATGAACTTTCTCAAAGTATTTGCCGCTATTTCTGCTGCTTTTAATAATTTCATTCAGCACGGACTGAGTTTTTCTTGCAGGATAATGAAAGTTTGGAATTAATTTCATTTAATCAGTGAACTCTCCTGATCTAGCACAAAATTCCCACAATATTAGTAGAGTGAGTGAGTATAAGTGAGTGAGTGACACCACTTTGAAAAACAGGGGACACCTGAAATGGGCTTCAGACATTGTACCAATGTGGGGAATCGAACCCAGATCTTTGGCATGATGAGCGGACACTTTTGACCACCATGCTTGCATACCGCACAAATATTAATTGAAATTCCACCACATAATACAAGTTTTAAAAAAAATGCAATTTTAATAAAAATAAATATCTGACAACTCCAACATTGCAAGACATCAGATATGCAATACTTCCTATATTACCTTCACTCGTGAATATCGGTCTGCAATACTTACTGTATGGGGAGACAGAGCCAAGCTTACAGCTGCACGCCTAGGCCTGGCTAGGCTAGGAATAAAGGGAAGCAACACAAATATGGGAAGCAACTTGTACATTTAAAAGTGACATCACATATTCTTTGAGGTAGGAATGTGTGTAGCCTCAGATATGTTGAAAGTGAATACCATTTTATATCAATATGCAGTGCATATCAACAGGGGCGGTAGGGTAGCCTAGTGGTTAAAGGGTTCGCTCGTCACGCCAAATAACCTGAGTTCGATTCCCAACATGGGTACAATGTGTGAAGCCCATTTCTGGTGCCCCCCGCCGTGATATTGCTGGATTCATATTGCTAAAAACGGCATAAAACCATACTCACTCATGCATTTCAACACCTGCGGCAATTGTGTCCCCAAGGAGTATTATATATTTCCTAGTTTGCACAAATTTAACATGTAATATCTGAGAATAATTCAAATACTTTAAAAAATATGGGAATGTTTATTTTCTATGCGAAAAAATTGAGAAAAGAAATTAAAAAATTGGCTGCAGCACTGTAATAGACTGATGGCCTATACTTCTTGAATAAATGATGAAAGATACCATTGAAAGGAAATCAACATTTTTGTGACAATTGGTTTCTCAAATATACTGGAAATTTTAGCATTAATGTGTAACATGATCCCAAGAGGGTTCGGTACATCCCAAGTTGTAGTCCACTAATCCTAAGAATGGTAGTCTCCAGTTATTTGTCCTGTAGCAGTGTATCTGATTTTAGATCACTTCATTGATTTTTCTTTACAAATATTTTCTTTTTCTTGCAGACGTGGCATCCCTGCTGAACCAATCAGTGGCCCTGGATTCTGTGACTTCGAGTACAGAACTTAGATGTCTTACTGCAGCTGGCCAGTCCAGGGGAGATGGAGAAGCTATGTTAGTCATCTGGTAGAACCTAGTACTTGCTAACACAGCAAGAAAAGCGACAACTATATGTACATCAGATTGCAGACCCACTTGTAATAACAGAAGCAACATCGGAATCTACGTGTGTGATGAGGCCGTGACACATGAGATGGGGAATAACACTTCGTTCTACATGTGATGTTTATCCAATTATTGTATAATTGTTTCAGAATACTTTATGCAAAGAGTCACTTACAGCTGGTTTCAAATCGCAGGACCTCATAAGAATAGTGTGAAGGTCACCCAGTCTGGCATCAGCTCACCCAAACAACATGGCATACCGTAAATCAGCTAATAGGTGCCCAGCTCATGTCTTCCTTTTACAAATGAAATGAGTGCCCCTTCTCCACAATAACAAAGATCCACAAAACACAACTGTCTGAACTCCACACTGTTCTGCAGCACATTTTTATAATTAGAAGACAGATTACATGAGCACTATCACCAGTTGTATCTGAATCAGCACCCTGTATACATTGAAACATGTTGGGTTGGATATGGTTGCAACTGGATGATAAGAACACATCTGTGATGTCATTTTATTGTTTAAAAGCTGCTTTTTTTCAGGAATGGAGAGTTTTTTGTCAATTATGCATTATCTTGAACCAATATTTTAATTAATTTGCACTTGTAACTGATGGAACTATTTTTTAAATATTCTGACAAATGAATAATTTCGAATTTTGTCAAAAAATGTGTTGCTGGTGGGGTTTGGACCATGCATCATTTGATTTGAGGATGTGTAATTATGGACCCAGGCTATGGTGACACATGAAGGTACATGTTTCCAGTAAAATTAACTTTTAAATATTTTCATAATTTTGCATAATGCTTAAAAGCACAAAATATGTATATAATGTTGTGTTACAGCAGGTTACAAATGGGCAATGTTCATATTTATAGCAATTAGATAAACCTTTCCCGAGAAAACAAATCAGGTAAACATATATATCCTTGTTCAGGGGCTCCATGTTTCCTATAATCCCCAGCATATCTTAACAATATTCGAACAATTGATAAAATACTAGTTTAGGACCCTACAAAGTTATGAAGAGCCGTGTACCATGCATTGCAAATGTCAGCTCGCGACAGAGCTTGGTGCACCTGCAACAGCGGCAGAGATCACGTACCTCATCCATCACACAAGGGCGACTCGCACAGTGTAAATACACTACAAAGAGTTCTGGTTTATTTTGCAAATATTTTCCACAAGAGAATATTTTGTCAAAGTATAAAAGCAGAGATGTGTTTTAAGTGGCAGAATATCCTCAAAACTCTCCATTGCTTGAAAATAATAGGCCTCTGCTCCATTATATTTGAGGATTGGAAAGTTACTCAGATTATCCTCTCTACTTAGTCTGTTTATTTTTATATTGATAGGGTAGACATAACTTGGTAGACAGGTCACATCTTTCATGTTCCTGGTTTATACACACATACAATATTCAGATACACACATACATATCTTCGTGAACATTCCTTTTTTGAAATACTGTATAACATTTTGGCCACATCTTGAATCATATTTCCCTGGAATATTGTATTTTTATATCTGCCTCCATCCTCCATCATGAAGGGTAATGCATACTTCCACTCTACCAGAGGCCCTGAAGTGACCAGGGCCCACTTGCACAAAGCGATCTTAGCGCTACAACTATTGTAAGCCTATGTTAAAGTATGGGAGTTACGATCGCTTTGTGCAAGTGGGTCCAGGTCATGGCAAGACGGGAATATGTTGCCTCACTAAAGGCAGTTTCAGGGTATATGGAGGAACAGTGTACATGTCCCAGCATTACTGGGGATGATCTGAATGCTAGTTCAGCAATTATTGCAGATCTTGCCATGTAAGAATGGTTAAAACACTGTCAAGCTTTTGGTGGTGTTGGCCAGTGAGCTCTTCTGCCAGTTTGATATTATATTTGCGACTCCCCTCTGTTTATTGGTAAAGGTGATTTCCTACTATAGCTGTGACTGCTGCTAACCAGTGATGATATGTTCATTGTCAAGTGATATTATGAAAATGATTTGTATTAATCAGGGGTCTTAATCAGGAATAGCATATTCAGTATTTAAACTGAAATCCATTGAAATGCATATCGCTAGTGTTGCAAACACTGTATATAGACAATCGCTTGCACAGTGAAGCTCCTTCTTATGTGATTTTGTATTTTCTGAACTTTTGCACTTGGTTATTGAGTTAGATTGTTATCCATTAATATGGTTAAGGCTGCCAGCGAAGGGACCACATGGTCGATCACCGTTTTGGAGAGAAAAAAAATAATTGACAAGTCACTACATCACCTGTTTTAAAGCTGTTCAATTATTTCTTTGTTATTTTGGAGGGATGATATTGTAGATTATGAATCCACTCCTAAGACAATACTGACCAGGTGGCGCCTTTACTGACAGCGTTCCCCATGTTTGCTTTGAGCACTTTTGATAATGTGTGCTTGGTTAATCACAAGATTGCAATAAAAATAGACCATATGCTGCATTCGTAATTGATTCTTGGACAGTTGAGAGAGTGAGTGAATGTTGTTATACATCATTTCAGCAGTTTTCGAGCTATATGATTTAGGCATGAATTAATCGAGTCTGATGCCGCTTACGAGAAGCATTGGTTGCTGAGGATCAATTCTAACCAGACCACATGTTTTGGTCTGCTCTTACAAACCAGAACATGTATTGGGGTCTGTTGGCTTTGACACCTCGATGGTCCCACTCCACAACAGTATGTTATTTCAGCATTGAAGAAAAATATTGAATCTACTCATCACCATGGTTACTGGTGAAGCAGCCATATCAACAAGTATGTGAGAAATGCCTAGAAATGCCTTGGACCTACTGGGTTCTTATGCCAGTCAGTTTCAGAGCTGTGACATACCATTGGTTCCAGTGAGACCCCAGCTTCCCGAGGCAAGGGAGTTAACTGACTTTTAAAGACCAGTTTTCACCCTAGCCGAACTAGGCTGGTATTATGGAGTTGCATTTTGGCTGGACTAACGAGTCTATGCATAGTCAAATCAAAATGGCATAACGAAATTGAAATCTGGTTTGTAAACTGCCGTGCAGATTTCGGTCGACTGCAAGATTTGCAAAGGATCACCACCAACTCGGCATCAGCAGAAATTTTCCAAATGTTTTCATGTATTTAATGGAGCTGATTTAATGCACTTTGCGATGTAAGCCCTGTTTTGTCACAATATAGATCTTGATTATTCATCAGATCGTCTTTACTGGGCCCTGCCATTTTGTTTAAGGCAAATGCAAGTTATACAAGAGGATGAATCTGATTGGCCAATAGGAGGGGCATAGAAGGGACACTAGTGGTGCTAGTATTGAGCCCAGAAATTCCAGTCTAGTTCGGCAAGGGTGGAAACTCGACTTTATTTGTCAGTTAACTCCCTTGCCTCGGAAGGATGGTAAGACCAAAATACAACACAATACAAATAGTTGCAAGTATATTTATTCTTCATGTAACACATTCTTTCCAGTGCTGTCCGCCAAGTGGAATATTTTGGAATGTATAAGACATCAGTGCTTCACTTAAACACCTGAGTACTCAGTCTAACAACATTATCACTCTGTGAAAACATGACCAATGGATCCACGGTGAGTCAAGGTTTTCCAGCCGAAATGCTCCCTTACAGCAGGGCACATCAGATATCTGCAGAAATGCTTCATACAGAATGACAAACCATTTTTGCAAATTCCTCATTTAACAGTCCTGGGTTCCGCTGTACAAAACAACCTTAGTGCTACGACTGTCGTAAGCCGATGTTCAAGTATGGGAGTTACGATCACCTTAGCGCTAAGATCCCTTTGCACAACAACGGCATGGTCTCCTTCAGTTTGTGGAGGCCACCTTGAGACTTGTTGACAATTGCACGTTCCCGTCTCTCCCAGCAACATCTCACACGATGCCGTCTACTGACAGGAGAATCTCCCGCACTTTCTGGTTCCTTCTTACTTTCTGGAGCTCAGCATTCTGAAATTAAAAAAAACAGGTCAGGTCAAAATTTCAACTCCCCCAACATGTCAGTTTTTATAGATTTTGAAACAGAAACATAATTAGGAGTTGTGTGAACATTCATATGCCGTGATGGGATTGTCTCAAAGATTGTTTACCAGTAAAACACCTGAAATATTGCCTGTCTGACGTTAAATATGAACTCACTTTTTTAATAAGAGGCATGTCAAAATGGTTAATCAGAATTGGATTCTACCATGACTTAGGAAAATATTCAAAACTAGTTTGGTAGTATTTGAGGGAGTTTTGTTTTATGCCACTTTTAGCAATATTCCAGCAATATCACAACGGGGTACACCAGAAATGGGCTTCACACATTGTATTCTTGTGGAGAATCGAACCAGGTCTTCAGCGTGACGAGCGAACGCTCTAACCACAAGGCTACCCACCGCCCCCGGTAGTAGAGTGTAAACATGGTTCTATATTCGTACTGTACATGTTAGAGAGGGGTAGGGGAGTCTCATCTGTCAACTTGTCCAGTATATATACTAAACCCTGATAACCCTCACCTTCCACACAATGACCAGGCCATCCGTGCCACAGGACACCAAGCCCTCATGGTCAAAGTCCATAAATGTCTGCAATCAGAAACACTAAGCAAATGATACAGTGGTAAACTTAATTAAATTGTTTTCTTCATTTCTATTTAGACCGATGTATTCAATTCCTGTTACTTTGACTTAAGAATATTTTATATACATTGGATTAAATATTTGTTACGTAGCTCATGTTACAGGGAGTCTGGTTAAAGAGTTGATGTTACCATGGTTACCTGCACAGACCCTGAATGGGCCACACATTCTCCTAGTAATGACACGTCCAGTGTGTGTTCAGCAAAGTTGACTTGCTTCAGTTGCTCTCCACTGCAAGGAAGTAAGGTGAGGTGAAATGGGGTTTAACGTCGCGTTCAAGATTGTTGCACTTACACAGCATCATGCATGCATGTGTGTGGCTGCTTGTACTAGTCGGGACTGACGCCGATTTTATAGTGCTAGCTCACTGAGATACCATGCCGAAGTTTAACATGAATACCCCACTCAGACACAGTATACTGAATCCGAGCCAAACAGTCCTTGTGTTATCACCTTGATGCCAAGCACCAGACAGGGTGACAAGTACCATCAATTAACGTCTTTTGGGATAACGCGGCTTGGAATCGAACCCCGGACCGGGTGGATGCTCTACCACTAGACCACGGAGGCAGTTGCAAGCGTGTAATATAATGAAGTGCAGCAAAGGGCTTTCAGTATGAAGTGTTACAATACTTTAACCGGTATTCCGCTGCCCCAAAGAGGAGGAAAATATTAAAAATCAACTGGCATAATTGTGATATCTTTCAACAAGTTTCATATTTTCGGAATCATTTAATACCATGTATTAGGGAATATAAGATAGCTACGTGATAAATCGCAAAGAACAATGAAGAACTTTATTTCTTAATTCAAACCCACAGAGGGATGAAACGGCAGAAATTGCTTATGACCCCTGCAAGAGTCACCAATTCCTTTAAAACATGATGACGGCGATGATAATAACAGTGGTTATCATAAAGAAAGAATTACCTTAGACCAGTGAACCTTTCCATGGGCAACAACAGACTCAGATAATCACCATCATAGTCCCCACAAGCCGGCGCTCGGCCCCACAGACGAATTGACCCGTCCTCCGAAGAGGTCACCAAAAATGCTCTAAAAACATAAATGAATAATACAAAAGATGGAAGCAATTACAGTGAAATTCTCTCAGTATAGACGAGTTTGTTCTTAAACCCCAGGTTCCATGGTGCAATCTTAGTGCCATGAGGATCATAACTCCCAAACGTTAACATAGGCATATGATAGTCACAGTCCTAAGATCACTCAGTTGATGGGTCCTGGACAGACAAGCAAATGAGTGGTTTTATGTCACTGAATGCAATATTCCAGTTTCACCATGGCAGGCGACACCTAGACTGGGCTTCACACATTGTACTCCTGAAATGAGACCTGTTCAAGTGAACTCGTTAACCTCAAGACTGCCCCTCTGGACAAGTACTGGTGGAATCATCTACATATTGTAAAGGGCTAAAAAAAAGAGTCTTGGTTCTCAGGCACCGCCCGCACCATCATAAAGTCCGCCACACATTTTGTTTTCATTTTCATTTTCGATAAACAAAAAAGTCCTTCAAAATTCAACCCATGCTTGCTGTAAAGGCAACTTTGCTTGTCGTAAGAGGTGACTAACGTGATCGGGTGGTCAACCTCCCTGACTTGGTTGATGCTTGTCATCGTATCCCAATTGCATGGATCGATGCTCATGATGTCAGTCAATGGTTTGTCTGGTCCAGACTCAATTTTTATAACGACATAACTCCATACCCATCATAAGTGAATCTGGAAACCTCAAATTCTTCACGATGTACTGTCTGGAATAACCTGTTTTTGTGCCAGTACTCATCAATGGATACATGTTAGGCTTCATACAGAATGTCTATTGAATTATGTGATTTGCATTGGCAAATCCCCTATAAACATATCTGATAATAATTGTATGGTCGAGTCTTAGTCAAAGCGCTTAGAGTTTATCCAGCTTACCCATCACAAGCCAGTCCAATATGGAGAATCTTGGAGTAGTGTGCCGCCAACTTCCTTACAGCGACTCTCTCCTTACCAACACTCACATCAAACATACAGAACCCAGAGCCCATCGCAGCAAACAGGTATCTCTGCAAGGTCAATAAGGGAAAAGGGTGGACTAAGAGATTTTATATTTGTGTTTGACATAAAACAAGTCTTGATTTGTTTTGAGAGCATCTTCCCTAGTCAAGGGAGTTAACTGACTGTAAAAGTCCAGTTTCCACCTTGCCGAACTAGGTCGAACCTTGACACTCAATCGTAGCACCACTAGTTGCTAAGAGTTATGTCCCTTCTATGTCCCTCTTTTTGACCAATCAGATTCCATCTCTCATATCACTTGCATTTGCTTCAAACAAAATGGGGGCGCCCAGTTAAGATCATCTGAACGATAATCAAGATCTATATTGATTAAAAAATTGAAAAGATTTAGAAAATATCTGTCAAAGCCTAGTTGACGTTACACATTCTTTCAAATATTGCAATCAACTGAAACCTGCACATCAGTCACCATGTTGTCACAGAGAGATTCTTGTGATATAGTACATGTCAATAAACTCATCAATCATATAGTTCCCCAAACCAAAACCAAAACCAACACCCCCATCCCCACCCCCACCCCCACCAACCAGCCCCGACCCACCCATCAGGCCATATTGTGCTTTTGTGTCCCTAAGGTGTCATTGTACGTGGAATGTGTAAGACGGAGCTCTGACCTCTTGAACACAGAACATGCTCTGGATACTGTATGGATACAAGTGTTTGTCCCCCACATACTCCGACACAGTGTTGAAGGTCTTGGCAGGCAGAAAGTTCTGTGACGTCCACAAAATAATTGTCCCATCGATAGATCCGCTTGCAAAACAGGACTCTGTAATCCAGACACTGAGACGTCAATCACATCAACCGTCCCAATGGATATTAACAAAAGAATGGTTGCATAACATCACTCAAGAAAATATATAGTTTTTGCTTCTGAAAATCCACTGATGAAATTGCTGGTAATTACCCATGTCTGCATGTAAACAGCACTTCCCATGACACAACACTGGGTCAGGGAGGTGAGTATTTTAAAAGTAGCCTGTTAAATCAATATCATGACGTCTCTGTATACATATGACAAAGAACTATTATGGCAATTGTGCTAATAACTATTGGCTATCTAAATAATACCGCAATGACACAAGACACAGCGAGGCTGAATCTGCAGCAAGATGACGTACCCGAGATGCTGATGAGGCTGTGGATGGCCTCCCGGTGTGAGGGCAGCTTCTTCACCAGTGAGATCTCCTTGTCATCCGGCTCCCCGCCAGTCATCGGGTTCACCACAGAGTAGACGACTACAACACAGTCAGACCCAGTCAGACAGCACCACAACACAGTCAGACAGCACTACAACAGTCAGACAGCACTACAACAGTCAGACAGCACTACAACACAGTCAGCCAGCACCACAACACAGTCAGACAGCACTACAACAGTCAGACAGCACTACAACACAATCAGACAGCACTACAACAGTCAGACAGCACTACAACACAGTCAGCACTACAACACAGTCAGCCACAGTCAGCACTACAACACAATCAGACAGCACTACAACAGTCAGACAGAGTCAGACAGCACCACAACACAGTCAGACAGCACTACAACACAATCAGACAGCACTACAACAGTCAGATAGCACTACAACACAGTCAGACAGCACTACAACACAGTCAGCACTACAACACAGTCAGCCAGTCAGCACTACAACACAGTCAGACAGCACTACAACACAGACAGCCACAGTCAGCACTACAACACAGTCAGACAGCACTGCAACACAGTCAGACAGTCACCACTACAACACAGTCAGACAGCACTACAACACAGTCAGACAGCACTACAACACAGTCAGCCACAGTCAGCACTACAACATAGTCAGACAGCACTACAACACAGTCAGCCACAGTCAGCACTACAACACAGTCAGACAGCACTACAACACAGTCAGCCAGACAGCACTACAACACAGTCAGACACAGTCACCACTACAACATAGTCGGCCACAGTCAAACAACACTGCAACACAGTCACCACTACAACACAGTCAGACAGCACTACAACACAGTCAGACACAGTCAGACAGCACTACAACACAGTCAGACACAGTCAGAACTACAACACAGTCAGCACAACAACACAGTCAGAACTACAACACAGTCAGCACTGCAACACAGTCAGACAGTCAGTCTGCACTTCAACACAGATTACACCACTACAACACATGACAACACAGAGCACACAACAAAAAAGTCGGATCTATACCAGATATCCCAGTGATTGACACCATGAGCATCTTTATGCAAATGGAATACAACAACACACATCAAGTCAGTGAGCCTGACCACCCGATCGCCTTTCATGACAAGCATGGGCTGCCGAAGACCAGTTCTAACCTGCACCTCAGGGAGATGTAGTGTGAGTGGTTCATGCCACAATACACCCTGTCCTCACCAAGTTGCTTGTCGGCAGCTGTGACAATATGATCTGTCTTCACCACAATCATCAGCGAGATATCTGAATACATACCAGCATTACTTAAAAAGACAATCAAAAATGTGAAACAGTGAAATAATGAATGTTATCATTTCTGATGGGTTATCAAAACAATATGTCATCATCACGTTTGTCTTGGGATTTACTCATTGTTTTCTAAACTAAATAGCAAGGAAAGTCAATTTTCTTCCCTCATCCTGTAAAACAACGATCACATCAAATATCATAAACACTGAAATCAATATTCAATGCCTGCAGGTTTGAAAATTAATATACTATTGTTTTATTGCCCTTTTGTCAATATTCCAGCAAATCTAGGAGGTGTCAAGGATGGATTTCACACATTGAATGCAAATGGGGAATCAAACCCTAGCAAACACATTAACAATTGGGCTACCTAGCCACCCAAAGAATTCTTGTGAAGGGTAGCAGAACAGGGTTGAATGCAATACTGTTTTTCAGGAGTCAGAGAGGAGTTGTAGAGGGTGTAGGAAACTTAATTCCATAGCCTTTACGAAATATATGTGTTCTTGCATAATATAAGTTTATACTGAAACAATGTTGAAAAAGTATACTTTTTGGGGGCAGACAATGCACATAAATAAACAATCACATGAATCGAACTCACCTTCTTGATCCTTGCGACGTGCCATGTGCAGGAGTTTGCCATCATGCCTCCACACAGACAAGTGCTCTCCTCCCCCACAGAACATCTCCCCATCCCCCATCATCACCAGACACTGAATACAACATTAAGACAGCTTCAATCTCCACACAAGATCTCCCCATCTCCCTCCTGCCTTTACTGCATGAAAATATTACTTCCGTCAATGCCCAGCCTGGCCTTTGCCCCTGACCTTTACTCTGATCTTTACCCCTGACCTTTGCCCCTGACCTTTACCCCAGCCTATATTCCTGGCATGTTACAATGCCCTTTACCCCTGACCTTTGTCCCTGGGCTGTATCGATGGCCTTTACCCCTGACCTTTACCCTAGACCTGTATCGATAGCATTAAGCCCTGACCTTTACCCCTGGCCTTTACCCCTGACCTATATTGATAGCATTCAGCCCTGACTTTTACCCCCAGCCTTTACCCCAGACCTGTATCAATAGCATTCAGCCCTGACTTTTACCCCCAGCCTTTACCCCAGACCTGTATCAATAGCATTCAGCCCTAACCTTTACCCCTGACCTATATCAATAGCATTCAGCCCTGACCTTTACCCCAGACCTGTATTGATAGCATTAAGCCCTGACCTTTACCCCTGGCCTTTACCCCAGACCTATATCAATAGCATTCAGCCCTGACCTTTACCTCTGGCCTTTACCCCAGACCTGTATTGATAGCATTCAGCCCTGACCTTTACCCCTGGCCTTTACACCAGACCTATATCAATAGCATTCAGCCCTGACCTTTACCCCAGACCTGTATCGATAGCATTCAGCCCTGACCTTTACCCCTGGCCTTTACCCCTGACCTATATCAATAGCATTCAGCCCTGACCTTTACCCCAGACCTGTATCGATAGCATTCAGCCCTGACCTTTACCCCAGACCTGTATTGACAGCATTCAGCCCTAACCTTTACCCCTGGCCTTTACCCCAGACCTGTATCGATAGCATTCAGCCCTGAACTTTACCCCGAGCCTTTACCCCAGACCTGTATTGATAGCATTCAGCCCTGACCTTTACCCCTGGCCTTTACCCCTGACCTATATCAATAGCATTCAGCCCTGACCTTTACCCCAGACCTGTATCGATAGCATTCAGCCCTGACCTTTACCCCTGGCCTTTACCCCAGACCTGTATCAATAGCATTCAGCCCTGACCTTTACCCCTGGCCTTTAGCGCTGGCTGTGTCTCACCTTGATTGAGCTGTTATGTTCGGTGATGACATGTCGACAGGTTCCAGTGTCAATGTCCCACACCTGAAGGAACAAGTCATAAAGGTCGTTTGTGTCTACAGGAGCAATAAAATACCTTTCTCAGACACACAAATTTGATTGACCAAAATGTTTGAAATTTTTTGTACTTTGTGTTGGTAACTACTTAATTACACTGAATTACACTGAACTTTGAGCCTGAAGCATTGACCTGCAACTTGACTCGTTATTTTATAAGGGCTTTTAATTTGATTAGCAGCTAAAGTTTGTTTATTTGTTGTTTAACACCGTACTTAGCAATATTTCAGCTATATGACGGTGGTCTGTAAATAATCGAGTCTGGACCAGACAATCCAGTGATTGACATCATGATCATCAATCCATGCAATTGGGATACAATGACATACATCAACCAAGTTAGCGAGCATGACCATCCAATCTCGTTATCGCCTCTTACGACAAGCATAGTCGCCTTTTATGGCAAGCATGGGTTGCTGAAGACCTGTTCTACCCAGGATCTTCACGGGTTGGCAGGTTATGTATCATTTCATTTTTTAAAACAGCAACTGCAACTTGAAAGAAAGTCTTGTCTCGACCATGTAGACTGGATTCAGAAACATGCAAAACAAGAAGTGATTGTCTGACCCTGATCTGTTTATCGGACGACCCAGTCAGAAGCAGCCAATCATCTGTGAAGTCTCTTCGAGGCATCAACAGCAACATACAGGTGATACGATGGGAGTGGCCACTCAGGACTTGTAGCTTCTTCCCGATCTGAAGCAAACATGGCCACTGCATGACACTCCTGGGAACATCTCTCAGACCAGCGAGTTTATCACTGTAGAAGTTACTAGTCCAATCAGGATAACACTCAGTCCTTCCATAAATCAACAGCCAGATACTGGCCATCAGGAATGCAACAAAATAAAAAATATGGACTTTCCATGACGGCCCTAATCCCAAGATAATCATATTTCTCATATTACTTATATTTTAGACAAGTTAGAAACATGCTGGGTCGACTTTATGAAAAACAATTGGAATAGTCTGTCATACACACCCTTACATAAATATATCCAATACAGCCCATGCAAGTCTATAATAGTTGGCGAGTTTAGATTACTGCAGTTTCAGGAAATGTATGGAGTGGGCTAATTTTCTCTGTATTATATTAAGATATTGAATTAAGATAATCTAACAACTGTTTTTGTCTGTAAAATATCTTCATCTGGGGGATTAGATGTTTGTCTATTAGAACCACTGAACATTTGATTTTTTTCGTTGTGAATTATTCATGATAAGAATTATCTCAATCCCTGTTTTGACCTGACCATGATAATATTGACAGAGGTCGCTTAGTCAGGTTCACAAAAATCTGCCATGTCTCTGGATTCCAGCTGGGTTTTTCAACGATCAAAGTAAAAAAACCCATTAAAGGCAGCATATACATGTATACTGGAACACTGTACATCTTTGTTCTCATGAATTAAACTTCACATTTATGTCTCCAAAATGACTATCAACAATAAGACGGCCTCAATTCACACTTTTGAGAGCAGAAATACCAACTTGAATATAAAAACAAACACAGTTTATTGTGCAGTAGTTGTAACAAGCATATAACAATGTCATTCAAAGAATAGGAAATACACAATAGGCATCTGGAGAGTTATCACTCCTGGGGTCAAGAGTTCAACCCACTTGTGTCAAACAAGGCATCATTGACCACTCCAGCAGTCCAGACAGACGCCACACATGCAACACTGGGTCAAAGGCCGACATGACCCAGCGCGCACCAACAGGCTTCATTACACTCCTCAGATCTACATGATGTCTTGTCATCCGACTTCAAGTTTGTTCACGCCTTATCCAGTACAAATCAGTGAACTGTTTTATTTTATAAATTTCAATTAATTGTTTGCCTTTGAACTTCCTTAATGCCAGCCAACAGAATAAACATATAAACTGTGTGTTGTGTTTAGGAAACCACTGCTTATTGTTTTACACAAGTGCTCTACTCAGCGCTGATAAGGGATCCTATTTCCTGTTTGATTTGATTTGTATAAGGTACGGTTGGATTAAGGTGAAGATATATATAATTCCACTTCGGATTGGGGAGGGGGAGTCGCATTGATATTGAGTCACATTTTTGGCGAGGGGTCAGCAGTCGTATTTATTTGGAGACACATTAATTTCAGGATTTCCAGTATTGTATTGCGTTTGAACTTCCTTAATGCCAGGCAACAGAATAAACATACAAACTCTGTGTGTTTTTTAGGAAAACACTGTTTATTGTTTTTATGGAAGAGCTCTTCTCTGCGCTAATAAGCAGTGCTATTTGCTGTTTGACTGGATTAAGGTAAGGTTAGATTAAGGTAAAGATACATATCATTCCACTGAGGATTTGGGGGAACTCGCATTAATATTGAGTCGCATTTTGGCCAAGGGGTCAGCAGTTGTATAAATTTTGAGATGAATTAATTTCCAGATGTCGGTATTATCTGACTGTCCACATGATGCTCACCTGGATGTCCCATATGATCACCTTCCCATCATCCCCTGCAGATGCACACCTGTAACCATGGAAACAACAATACACAGACAGGTGGGAAGGAGAGACACAGGCTGACTGACATCTGGGAGAATACGTCCAGGTAGTGGAGGAATCCTTCCAGCTTAAGAAGGGAGTAAGAATCTACATCGAAATGCAGCTTATGCAATACCCCAGAAGTTGTTTTAAATAAAGTTGACAGGTTTCGTATTTACTGACATAAGGGGGGCACTCGTCCCTACACTCATCTTAGGCTGTGGGACATGAAACAAAACAAAACATATGGATGACAACTTGTGCATTCTTTCTCGTGACTTCATCACTTGCTTAATAAAAGTGTGAAAATCCACAACAGGGGAAAGAATGAATGGCGTTTTCATGGTCATGGGAGCTTGTGAAAAAGTTTGTTTTGTTGTCTAGCGCAACACTCTGCATTATTCCAGGTATATGAAGGTGGTCTGTAAATAAGTGAATCTGGACTAGACAGTCCAGTGACTGATATAATGAGCACCAATCTAGGCACCTTGGATATGATGACATACATCAACCAAGCCAGTGAACCTGACAACCTCATCCAAATAGTTACCATTTTTTCAACAAGCATGGGTTTCTGTCTGGGAATCTACTTTGGGGACATTATTGGGAGAATCCACTTTGGGGACCAATTTGGGAGAATCCATATTGGAAGAATCCACATTGGGAGAAACCACTTTGGGGACCATATTGGGAGAATCCACTTTGGGGACCATATTGGGAAAATCCACTTTGGGGACCAATTTGGGAGAATCCATATTGGAAGAATGCACATTGGGAGAAACCACTTTGGGGACCACATTGGGAGAATCCATATTGGGAGAATCCACAATGAAACATCGCAATAAACAAAATATGCAGACTAAGAGGTTGTCATTCAGGTATTACTTGTGTCCCGACATAAAGATCCATAATGCAATCACACAAGATTACAATGTACCTTTTGTGATCTATCTTGAGCAGTGTGCGGACGATGTCCGTGTGTTGGTGTAAAACAAGGATCTCGGAGTACGGGTTGTGTGGCTGATCGTCTGTAATCTCCTCCACCTCCACAGACTGAAACACACAGGATGATGTCAATAGGATAAATGAACCATGTGAACTGACTGATCAGAGTTGCAGCTAGTTAACCTGAGTATCTGCTTGAAAAAGGCAAAATAATCACCATTACATTATCAAGCTTCAGTTGCTTGTATATAAATTAATATGCATGAACAGTTTCAGAAACCAAATATTTACAAAACACTATGAGTAACTGACCACGGGGAATGCTGCAATACATTGAGACCTTGGGCATGCATTTATCATATACACGACGGAACAAGCCGATTAAACTTGAATTGTTTTACGAATTGCAGCGCCATCTGAGGTTCTTCATTGTCAATGTTGTCCTTCAGCAGCTTAGTGTCCCCTTTGTGCACTGACGTTCTTTAGTTTGGTTTGGTTGGTTGTTGTTTAACGCCACACTCAGCAATCTTCCAGCTATATGACGGCGGTCTGGACCAGACAATCTAGTGATTGACATCATGAACATCAATCCACGCAGTTTGGATACGATGACATGCATCAACCAAGTCAGCCAGACTGACCACCCGGTCCCGTTTGTCGCCTCTAACGACAAGCATAGTCGCCTTTTACGGCAAGCATGGGTTGCTGAAGACCTATTCTACCCTGGATCTTCGCGGGTCACATACTTTAGTACACATTATTCTTTCTGTACTTATGATGTCTTTTGTTTGTGAGCTGAACATTGGTATCGTTTTGTATTTTTTACTCAATATTTGTACATAAACAATTACCTTTATTTGTAACATTAATTCTTTATTCGTAACATCTGACTATTATTGCAAACGTTTATCCTTTATTTCAATATAGTATTTTTTGACCGGATGGCCGTCCATAGATATCAACACGCATGGTGAATGATAACATGTAGGTAAATATTCAAGGGCTCAAAATTTAATCTAGACACAGTGTAATGTCAACATGATCATGATCTAGTTGACACATTTTAGGGGAGAAGGAATCAGAAGGTATTAATCACATAAACTCGTTACAGGTTAGTAAATAAAAATATATACCCCCTATATATAATTCTCTACTTACATATAGGGGGTATATATTTTTATTTACTGACCAATAAAGAGTTCTTGTATTAATATACTTCCCAAATATTGTATCTTATTACAGTAATGATAACAATTACTCATGACATTGATGAGACTTGTGAGCTGTCAGTAACGGTAAACCATGGCATCACAGCGGGAGCCATGACAACAATGGACACGTGAGAGGTCCCACATATTGGGAAACAGGGGGAGGGTCGCGATATGTTTATCATTTATGCATATCTCAGGTAGATCTACTAATCAGTCATCGCTTTCCGAGTTAAAATATACGATATTTAAAAGAACACCAACATTTACTTCACCTGCTTTTCATCAAGTTTTTCTTTTTCTTTAGGATGCGATCCCCACAGTCGCTGTAGCACTGACATGTTGATATTATGGTGGACTATCGAGATCAGCTGTCGTGAGCAGTGAGCGCTCCTCGCAAGGTGTTTCCTTGTTTCGTGTACGTCACAAGCCAAAACGAGGCTGAGGAAATTCCCTGAGGGGGCGTGTCACGACGAAGACAAGTTTCGCGCCATGCACAGAAATCGCCAGACATAGGAGTGTATTGCTGGTTGTGTAAGCCGAATATCCCAACAGTTGTATACAATTACATTATTACATTTACAAATTATATCTTAATTTTCATTGGTTGAGGAAGTGTCACATGACATTAGCCCCAGTCAATATCCAAGGCCGCAGTTAACTTTTTTTGACAGAGAGGGCAAATATATGCAACTGCCCCGACCCCCCCCCCCCCCCCCCCCCCCCCCCCCCGGCTGGCTACGGCACTGATATCAATAAACATGATATTGCCCTTATAAATGGTCAATCATTGATAAATATGTATTAGTTATAAAGACGTATACTGTATAGGTAAGGCATACAGCGTTCCAGCAACATCAGGGTAGGGGACATCGATAAATGGGCTGCACGTACATTACATGTTTTTAACACAAAGGGTGAAGTTTTGTTTTCATTTTCGTGAGGGAACATTTATTAATTTTAAGACATATACTTGAAAGAATCTCATATTTTCTTTTAAGTTAACAATTCGAAAAGAGTGAGTGAGTGAATGATGTTTCACGTTTTGTTCAACACTATACCAGCTATATCATGGCTGCCTTTGAATAATTGAGTTTGGACCAAACGAACCATTAACTATAAACTTTGGCAACTATCCACGTCACATGGAGACGATGATATGCAATCAGTAGAGGCGTATTATATCGAAGTATACAAGATCTAAGCTTAAAGAAACTACTGGTCGACTCGGAGTCTTAGTGGGGTGTCCATGTTTAACTGGGGCATTGTATCTGGCACCATAAAACCGGCCTGGTAAAAGCCGCCACACATGAGTGTTTGCATGTCGGTGTGTAGTCACAGGGGTGACAGTGTCCATGCCAAACCGGAAGTTGGTAGGTAGCAATTACCATTTTCTCGCTGGACAGTAAAAACTGGGATTTCACCCGAGCACACGGTGAGGGGAGGTGAAATGGGGTTTAACGTCGCGTCCAAGATTATTGCACTTATATAGCAACGTGCATGCACGTGTATGTGTAGCTGCTTGTACTAGTCCGGACTGATGCCGATTTATAGTGCTAGCCCACTGAGATACCATGCCGCAGTTTTAACATGAATACCCCACTCAGACACAGTATACTGACTCCGAGCCGACCAGTCCTTGTTTTAGCCCCTTAATGCCGAGCGCCAGACAGGGTAACAACAAGTACCATCTTTTAACGTCTTTTGGTATGACGCGGCTGGGGATCGAACCCCGGACATTCCGCTCTCCGGACGGACGCTCTACCATTAGACCACGGGCCCCGAGCACACGGAGCATGATTTGCGCACGTTTTTAGCCCTTTATGTTTTGAACTAACTCTAACTTATTTCTTGCACTGAAGGGCTTCCGGGCCATAATCGTTCTAGTATGTATTGTAATAGGCGCCCATCGTCTCTAACAGGCATATAAGAGGGCGCCTATTACAATACATACGACATTTCAATATTTTTCAATATTGCTTACCTAACTTTTGGTGTCATCTGGCCCGACAGAAACAAGTCGAAAACTGGGTGCTTTTGATATATTCTGATATATTTAACAAAACAAAAACTGTACGAGTCGATGGTAGTTGGCAGCGTGAACAAATCTACTGTCAAGGTTGATGGAATAATACTATCAGGGTAGCTATTTTAAGAATGTTCCACTGGTCTGAACATGTAACAAATGTTATATTTGGGATAACACCTTCTTAGTAAAGTACAGATTCTCGTATTTTTTAAAATAAAAAACAAAATTTAGGGGGGGAAGTCCCGGCCGGAATTCGAACCCACTCTGCCAGAGTGAGGCACCTAATCGCCAGTACACAGTCAGCGATCTAAATACGTATAACATTTGTTACATTTGACCACTTTCAAAATGGCATTGTGTATTTCGGCCATGGGAACCGTGCGAATTTACACTTGTCAGAATGGTACACAAAGTACGTGATCTAGACTACCAGTTGTCATACTCTCATTTGTGTGGAAGCCTCTCTGTGGGTCAGATCGCTGAGTTTGTGTGCTTGCGATTACGGGCCTCACTTTGGTATGTGGCTTAATCTTCAACGCACATTCCCTCTCCTGTTGAATAAAAACGAAAAAAGTAATTTCCATTATCATAATTGTTTTTCTTCGAAAAGCAGTGTCCTTTGTACGATTCTGAGTAACTCGTAATCATTTGTTTATGAATCACTGTCAAATATAGTGAATATATCAGGTGTTCGCAAAAAGGTGAGCCTACCCTACCGCACCAGTGGCACCAGTCAAAAACACATGCAAAGGCAAATCAAAGGCAAATGCAAAATCATTGTTGTCGTGCGACAAATGTGGAAGTGTCTGACAAAAAGATTTGAACGCTTTGCTGAGGCCTTGAATGATGTAACAATGTTTGAGCATGCGTTGTAAGACCCTTGACCGTGGACACCACAAGACTGGAGCTGCTCGAATATTTAAGAAAACGTACAACTTTATGGATAACAACTTCTGGTTTACTGCATATAGCGACGTTTCGATGCATATTCTATTTCTTATACACCGTTATGAAGCTGCTCGAATATAGCTCAAATTAAAGGGAAGGTTGAATTAATCTCTCTTGCCATGATGTAAAGTTCTTGGTCATTTTGAATCTCTATGCCTAGATCTAAGTATGAAACAGATGAGCCAGTTTTACTGGCCCTTAATATTTCTAGTTCAGGTTGGCAAATCAGTGGTTATTTGACCATAACTGAACTATATCAGATCATCGATATATGCTTGAAGCTTAACCTGTGAAGATACGGCTTTGAATTGGTCTGAAGCAATCCATGCTTGACGTAAGAGAGATCGGATAGTCAGGCTCGCTGACCTGGTTGATGCATGTCATCGTATCCTATATTTTTGTAGGTCGATGATCATGATGTCAATCACTGGAATGTCTGGTCCAGACTCGATTATTTACAGACCGCCGTAATATAACGGAGGGTCTTCCCAGTTAGCACGAAACTGATATTCAGGAGGATTTAGGGATAAGGATTTAAGGGATGGGGGATGGGGGATTATAGTCTGTTCCTGACAGGTGTACCCAAGTTAGCTCAAAAGCTTTGAAGCTGAAGTTATCATCTGATAGTTGAATTTAGAGTGAACACCTGTCACGTTTAAAAGTTTTGATTACCAATCAAGCTGTGTTGTTGTTTGTGCATATATGCCAGAAACCTATCACAATAAATTCAAATCCCGGTTAGCCCCCAATGATATTTCTATCTTTGTCAGTAACCATACCTGTGCTTGTGGGTTTACTTAAGTTTTATTATTGTCAGTAAAGCTGTACCTGAAGGAAGAATAATATAAATTTATGAAAATCTAAATCTAAATCCAATATGTCTTGAGACCTTTCATCCGACCAATCAATAACGAGTGCGGCGTTAAATAACAAACAAAGTTAACGTATCTGACTGTTCTGACAAAACTATTCTATTTCGCAATGGATCCTCGATGTTTACTACATGGCCGACGCTCTTCAACTAAAAGCCTTCTTTGTGTCTGATGTCAATAAGCTCCATTCCACTGCTGTTGTGACGATTTTAAAGCAACTGAAAGATACATTACCTGATCATGTATGGTAAATGTTTGCATTACTGGACAGACAGTCCGTCGTCCCAGTATCGTAACAGGTATATCTTTGATTTTGTTTACATGGAGTTCTTTCATGTTTGACGCACGACGGAACACCTTTGAGCGGCCATGGAAAATGACCATGCGATGGACTTGGCAGATCAGCCAAAGAGCAAGCAGCAGATGTTGTCAGTGAGTTGTGTTTAAAAAAGCCGCTTTTAAAAGTATTCCCGTTATATTATGGCGTGTCAGCTTAATGTGGGAGGAAAGCCCGAAGTGATGCAGGTCGGAGACGTTAATCACTTTCGTGAAACCCACGAGCACGGGGACGGTGCTGACAAACCTAGAAACAATCGGAGCGAACCGGGATTCGAACCCACAATCATAGGTTCCTGGCTTGCCTAAGGGACGCAACTCTGCACAGCGACTTCCGGAGCTCGAGACGACTGGGCCTACCAATAGGCCGGAACGAATTTTAAGTCAATAAACTATCGTTTCTGTTCCTCATCTGATACAGAAGACATCGTCTGAGCCGGATACTTCCTCAAAATCAGATCTAAGTTCTCGCTATTGTGAAACAAAGATCTGAGGACATCCCATTACGGGTCACGTCAGAACGACCTTTCATCCGACCAATCAAAGCGTCGCTTACCAGATCCTGAAATTGACAGTCGGAATGTGTATTCTAATCATGCAACCTCGAAAACCTTTTCCCCGGAATAACATGAGTTGGCCCCGAATGGCACGACTGATTCCGTCAAAATTACTGTATCTCTCGCGTTGCACAGTACGTGGGAAGCACTGCCATAAATCTCAACCGTATATGAGATATTCCGGACTGTCCGTTTGTTCAGTTTTCAAAATTTTAATCGAGAACTGTCAACATATTTTTCAAGCGTAATCTGAAATGGATGCCGTATAGCTCGAGAAAGATGTTTTCTAATTGGCTGATGTCGACTTCTTGTTAGTCATTTCAGTGGTCGGTCAAAATTCGCGAAAGGTCGTTCTGACATGACCCGTTATAGGATGTCCTCAGATCTTTAAAAAAAATCAGCTATGTCCTGAGCACGAAGGTCTGGTATTATCTTGCAGGTCAACATTTCTGCCGATAATTCTGGCGAATGGAACGACCGGAAGTTTCGTCAACATGTCGCTGGCCAGTGTGTCCATTCACAAGCAAATCAGTTGGCCTGTTATCTGCGATACCGCCCCACACCATGACCCAACCGTCGCCAAGAGGTGTTTTGGTCAAGAGTTGTTGCCCTTGCCATAGGACCATGCAACACCCAAGTCCCCGGTGTTTGCTTGCCAGGAACTTCAGGCCGCCTTACATTTGATTTACGACATTCGGGCAACTTGGGGTATTTTCGTCCACTTGGTCATATCCACAATTCATCATTTTGTCTGTTAGAGATACTGTTAGAGGCATGAGTTTAATGGGGTGTTCAACTTTTGGGTAGCATGGTTTTTCATATCAGTACCTTTTTAACTTACAAAAGGTCATGTCTTGTGTGGGTCAGTTCTGTATGAACGACATGTGAAAATCATTTTCTAGATCCAAGGTTCCATTTAAAATTCAGCAGTTCTGGTCGGGGCAAGCAAGTGAAGGTCGAGCAGTAATGTATTCATGCTACTGGCGTGTAAAGAATCTGGATGAAAGAATCTAGTGGAATGGCAATGTAACCTCAGTGGTGCTGGGATCATTGTGTTTCATGTAACAGACAAATGTCACAAGTCAGTATTTGCAGCTCAGGTATTTTTCTGCATGATGCGATACTTATTATAAACAAGGGCAACACTGCCTTGTGAGCGTTATATGTAATATGTAAACATTTCAACAATCTTAATTAATTTAACACAATAAATAAGTTTATTCCATAAAATTTATTTACAAAATATACATAATATGTCAGTAAGGATAAAATCACAGACTTTAACCAAAGACATTACATTAAAGTCATGATTGAACATGTATCTAGTCATTGGCAGTGGATAAAATCAAGTCCATATGGCTTTCGTAGCATCTCACCTAACCTTCGATAAGGAAACATTCTAGGGATGGAAGTATGTAATCTTCAGGCAATTCACAATTTGATAATTTAAGCAGAGGAGTCATGAATCTGACAACAATTGCGACTGATCCAAGAAATCTTTGCAAAAATAATTCAAGTTGTGAATACAGATAAATAAAAAATTTCAAATGCTAAAAACATGTAATAGTAATTCTACAGTGATTTGTTCCATTTGTTATTCATAAAAAACCAACATCTAAATTATGCTGCAGTCCTTAGAATATAACTCATGATACACAATAAGACAATTTAAAAAGGAAGTTTCATTTCTTAACCCTTAACATTTAACCCTACACAATGGACAAAAATCAAGTTAAAAAACATCATGATTTGTGCATGCATCAGCTTTGCAAAGGAAAATGCATCTGAAATAGAAGAGCCAACATGAAAGTTCACTGTATCGTCTTGCGTCGATCCACAGCTGAAAGACATGGCATCACATCCATAATCCTCATGAATTCACATAACTTGTTTATGGTGCCTTGAAATCCACATTTAAACTTCCTAAGAATTAGGTCAATTGATACATGATTAAAATATCCTCGTTCCTATGATCACAGCCCGCTTGAGGTACAGAGACAGCGTTAACTGGACGCTGCCGCCGCAGCCGCCAATTCAAGTAGCGCTGGGGATTTCAGTTCTGCTGCTGTACTAATTTTCATGAACTTGGAACTTGAGTATTTCGTCCTCACAGCCTGCACAGAATAAAAGATTAAATTACCATTTGAAAGCAATACAAATACATTATTTCAACATCACTTTAATATGTACAAATTATTCCACATTCGTTGGTTTGTGTAATTCCTTGTCTGTAAGTTTGTTTAACGCTGCACCCAGCAATATTGCAGCTATGACAAGGGTCTGTTAATGTCTGAGAACACCACGATCCAATATGGCCTGTCATTACTTCCCCTCACATGCGCACTGATATACTAAGCATCTTGTGTTATGTTATTGTCATGGTGGCAATAGTTATGCACTTGTTTTTGCCGATTTAGTATAAAAACACTTCATGTCATGGCCAATACATGTATAAGCGAAAAATAAATCTTTAACAGCAGTTGATGCGATTTGCCGATCAGATCATACACAATTTCGCCGAAATAAATGTAAGCAAAATTGAATTGGATCTTGGAGAAAAGTAATATAATGGATTACAATGTAAGTTCAGATACACAACACTTTTATAGCCAGATAGTGTAATAGAAGTAACTAGCGGACTTCAGTACGGATTTGTTGACATGCTTCTTCCAGTGTTGTGCTCACGATAACGATTACTGTATTCCAGTGTTTTACTCAAGCAATACATTAAGGTAGGGAGGCCCTTTCCCAGTTTATTTGGGTACATACTAGTTTAAACAAAAAAAACAACATAAAAGTAAAGCCACCCGGATGCACTATTTTCAAAAGTCATTGCCTGAAAACCAATTGTTTTAAAGCCTAATCATGTCTTGACCAGACAAATCCAGCGATCATGAGCATTATTCTACACAATTGGGATATGGTTAACGTCAACCCATTCATTGAGCATTACCACCCGATGCCTGCATTTGCTGCTAGCAAGAGCAATTCTAACCTGGAATTTCACTGGGTTTGTCAGTGGTGGTAAAATGAGGCAGATGAATTACTGCATGAGAGTACTTACCGTCAGTTTACTGTTTTCAGCTTTCACAACTAAGTGAGCCAGTTTCTGCTGGATTGGAAGGAGATCTTTCTCTGAATATGTGCTGTAGTGGGATAGGGTGTCATTCTGAAAGGACAGGATGACTAATTAGCATTTCGTCACCCACCAAATAATATCCCTGTACTTGGCCTACAGCAAATGACAGTTAAAATTCCCAAATAATAAAATAAAAAAACCAATTTGCACAAAGATGATTTTACTCCAATTTACCTGCCAATGGCACTTATGTTTGGGAGTCCAGGATAAAATCCCTGCATAAACCTAATTTGGTATTCAAATCCCTACATATTTTTTCAAATAATCCAAACTTGCCTAAAACAAGTATGAAAACTACTGAATAAAAAATCAGGAACTTGCAAAAAAAATTACTGAAAAGACAAGCCGTTACACTAATTGAATAATTTCCACACCTTTTCTGTGTAGGTTATACACCAATGGGCATACTCAACGCTGTACTTACCCACTGAGAACTGTCGAGAACTTTCATAGAAAGGCACAAGGCAGCTGCAGCAATTTGGGAAGGAAGATATTGCACCAGGTCATATTCTACGATTGTCAGCTCCATCAAGTATTTGGCCAGAGTGTGCTTCATGGCATCAACCTGGGCAAAGGAAGTTGGTTGTTGATATCAATATGACAAACAAGTGCAAGTTGTCGAGGGTGTACATAACAGGGTTCATACACCGACTCTTCCATGATGATTCACCAGATGTTTTCCATGATGTTATAACTATTTAAAAAATTAAACTGGGAAAATAAAATAGCCATGACTTCAGAATTTCTTGAAACACACAAACCCTTTAAGAGTTGAATGCCACCAAATAAATTGGGGGAAAAAGATCTAATTTACCCAAATCAAGAGTGGAAAAGTGGGACTGCTTATTAGTTTTAGGGAAACCCATTCTCTGTTCAGGATTTGAAGGGACAATGAGAATCATAACATTCACATTCAAACCTACACTATCACTTGCATCCTAGAAAACAATCCCTGAATTGTCTAATTGCTGAATTCAATTATTCAAGACAGTACTGAGTGACAAAAGTCCCACCTGGCCTGCTTTGGAGTTTCGTCTGAGGAAGTGGAGACAGAGGGGCTTTCCAAAACTGAATTCTAACGACCGGAGAATATCTCGCTCCATGTCCCGGATATCTGCCTTGGAATAAGCATTGTCTGTGATGTAAACAAAGTCAGCCACCTCTGGTGCATACATCTCCTCGTACTTGGAAGCTACTAACATTGCCGTGACTCCGACCAGCTGGAGTTTGTTCTTGCTCACTTGCTTCACCTGAAGAAAAACAAAAGATATTTAGTTCGAGAAAATAATTAGATTTATCCTCTTGTAATACTAAAAAAATGGTCATATTTCAGCTGTTCAATTCTATAAACAAGATTTAAGAAATCAGCTTATTTGGGAAACAAATGAGACTATTTCAGCAGCAGTAAATGAATGTGTCACTGGCTCACCTGTAGGTATCTGTCTATGATCGATACAGTGAGGTACAGAGTTTCCTGCAGTAAGTGGAAGCGATGATGAACTTGGCACAGCCAATCAATCAGGATAGCTCGCATTTTACCGGTAACTTCTCTTCCTTCCAAGTAGTTTCGTTTTACAAAATATTTAGCCTGCAACAGAACAACCAAAATATACTTCACTAAACCCTTTCAAATGCTCTGCAACTTCAAATTACTTTTTTAAAGAACCGAAAGGCAAATATATTGCAACTTGGCTTACATTTTATTGCTACGGATAACAAGCTTGGATAAGGAACAAATGGAACTGTAGACTTACCTCCAGAATTCTCATGTAGGAGTAGATATCATTGACATATTCACTGACTAGCTGTGGGTTATCTCTATCATTAGCATCAATGTCTTCCACGGTAAGTAGTGCTCGACTGAAGGCATCTGGCTTATCGTCACTGATGTCCATGGGGGCGGGGGCGGACACAGGTTCACATTCTGGCAGCGTCAGCTCGGTCTTAAATGTTGGAAGGACTTCCACAATCACAGCAGGTTCCTTGTCCTACAAGTGCAAGACAGTTATAGCATCAGCAAAATTATGAATATACATTTACAGAAATCAGATGTATGCATTACATATGCCAGAGACTAAACAAAGTGACTGACAGGCAAACTGGAGAAAAGGCATTTTGTACAATATATATTTTAGTAATGGAAAATAGTCTCACATTTCAGTCAATGTGGAGTATTACTATTAAGGCCTTTCTCTTCAGTGGCCATGTTCTCCAAAGATTTCACCTATGCAAAACAAGCCATAACATGATTTATTAGATATTTGGCCCTTGTCTACAGCAAAAGACAGTTAAGATTCCCAACTTCTCAGAAATGAAATACAAAATCCAATTTGCACAAAGATAATTTTACTCCAATTTGCCTGCCCATGGCACTTATGTTTGGCAGTCCAGGATAAATCCCTGCATTTGGTATTCAAATCCCTACATATTTTTTCAAATAATCCAAACTTACCTAAAATAAGTGAATGAGAGTGTTTTAACGCCGCTTTTAGCAATATCACAGCAGGGGACCTAAAATAAGTATGAAATCTACTGAACATTTTTGAAGCATAGTTACCCTGTAAATTTCAATGTCTGCTGATTTCAATGATGATGTTGCTTTGTTCTTCTGTAATGTCCTTCCTTTGGCTGCTTGAATGATTTCCTTTTTGATTGGCTTCTTACTGGCGTCGATGGTCATCTTGGAAACCTTGTTTCCTATGTCGCCTAAGGCTGCTCTGTGTGCTGCCCTGGTCATCGTCTTGCTGGCAATGATGGCATCTGTGTTCTCCCTTGATGGTGCCAGCTTCAGGCTGCCTTCAATGTTGGCCTGAAACAAATAAACCATAAGTTTAGCCCATAACATGAACGGTAATTTTATATACATGTGCTTTCAGCAACATTACACATTGACACCAGAAATAGGTTTATTCTATGCATGTGGGGAATCAAATCCTACCTTTGTTGTGACAAAATGCTTTACGTACTAAGCTACCACACAACCCCATATATATATAATATCTATATTGACATGGAAAGTTACAACACTGTTCTAATCTGAAATTAGACACAGAAATTCAGATCTGCAATGAAGACAAAATTAAACCCATCTTCAATTTGTGAAATAGCCAGTAGGAATACAGTTCAGGAAGACAACAAATTGATGCACGAGGTTAATACTAAAATTCTATTATATTTGCACATGATCATGATGATGCACTCAGGTCTTACATATATGTACACAGAAAGGTTAATACTGACCGACAATTAGGTATTGAAATCCAATTCATTCGAATAGGTATCCAAACTTGTCACATCAACAAAATATTTCAAACATAGATCTACTGCCTTCCCATGCAATTATGAAAATTAATTACACCTAACCTAATTCAACCTCAAAACATAGGAAGATCCAGACATTATGGAACACTGGTTCTGGAATAAATTTTACTAAAACAGTTCAAAACCATATATATAACCAGTTGGTTAAGAAAGAAAAAGTTCCAGAAAATAGTGTAAATATTGTTTCATGTGGACTAATGTATTGTTTCCGTCATCCGGAAAACATTTGAATCTTATTATCATGCAAGGTCCAATGTAACACCATAGTTTAAATTGTCGACGTCATTCGACAGTTGTGGTTTTCAAAGACTGCGGTCATGATCAGTGCATTTTTTATAAGGGGAGCTCAAAAGGTTTGTATGCTTGTATAATAGTATCTAAATGTACACTCTAAGTATGTTCCTACCAGCAGAAAATGGGAAAGAATATGCCGTTCGTTCCATCAATCTTATTTTTCATTATAAACCTGTTGAGGGCATAGGTAAGACTATGGCGTTTTTCAAGTTGGGGGTGGGACAAAAGGAACTCTTAACCAAAATAGTTCAGGCCCAGCAGTGTTGGCTGGAGCATTGCTCCAGGCTAGTTGAAGGAATATTGAAAAGTTACTGGTCTATGAACCATGTGAAAACTTATAAAACCCATAAATATAATTTTAATTTATGGCAATAAGGATAAGATGCACATTCCTCCATTTTATTTATCAAAGCAGGAATGCAGATCATATAAACGTCATGCTTTATAGACATCACATTCATGTTATTAGCATTCTAATAAGGCCTAAGGACAGAAGCATTTGTCTCATTTGAACAATGGTTAATATTGTTGAAAATGCATATGTATTCATGACGGTAAATGCAAAGTGTAAACTTCACTTTGAATGCGTGCAATATACCACTAAAATCGAATAAACTAAGCAAAAGCCCAGTGTAGACATCGTCAATATAAACTCCCACAATCGCATGAACAAGCCCATACGTGTTTTCCGCTCTTTAGGTCGGCATACCAAAGTCATCATACAGCCTATATTTGCAAAATGCAATGGTCAAAACTAAAACTGTACTTGTCGTTGCACAATATTACACCTTTACATTCACAGTCGGATAGGAAAACAATGACTTTAGAAGATAAATGGTCTCAAACATCACAAAAGCGAGTGTAAACAAACCACTGAGCCGGTTAGTGCACGCACTGACTGGGCGGAATGTCCAATAATAATGCCATTAATTGCACAAAATATATTCAACCACAGTAAAAAATTACCGAGACTGGTCTTGTTAAAGCCATGTTGTATGTTTCTCAAGAATATGTCGCACAGTGACTGGATTCAGGCATGAAATATCGTTTCTTCTCAATAGTTCGCTTGCCACATTCCCTCTCCTGCTTGACATGTAGCCATCGATGAGTGAATTTGTTTCAAATAGCAGCGGCTCGGCTCTGATTGGTTAGAAGGTGCCCCAAACAAGTTGCTGATTGGTCAAAGTTGTTGATGGTAACTAAGGAAAACATATCATCTTTTTGTCAACGCTCCAAACTCAAATATATTATATGATTCATAATATTGTATCGACACTTATTCTAAATATTAGACAAATATAATCTTAAAATGTTTTATTCTAAAAATCCAAGACGAACCAGCATCCCACGTTCTGCGCAGAGTAACTTCCGCTTTCTGTATCAAAACAAACCCGCGTGTAAATCCACGCATGTCGCGACAGGTACTTTCTTACCAACTTATACTTAACGTGGGTGGCTAACCAATCCAAAGCTCAACGGGCATCGCTTTTGACCCACTTACCCTCACCGATCTTGTTACCATTCCCTTTTTATTAGCATATATGCAGATAGCGTAGTGCAGGTTCTAGCATGGCTTCAGTTGTGTGTACGGACCTCAAACTTGGTTGTGATCAGCTGATCACCGATAACTTTGATAGAAACCTGTTTGTTTCGCAGTTTTGAAATAAATTCTTCTAGTCGTTGCCAGGCGTAATTCTGTCGAGAAGTGATCAGCCATGACCAGCAACATACACGAAACAAACTGAAATTACTCAACATGTCTCTTACATAGCTTAGGCTATATATACGTAATAACTTTCATTTATATTGGATAAAGTAAACTTAAAATTCAATTAATTTCAAACACTCCTTGGTTGCTTTGCCAGTTTGTTTGAATAAAAATCCACTGTCATTGTAAACCACACGAAATGTCATGTAGTATATTTTTTGGTAAATCAACATTTTTGGTTATTTATATTTTGGAAATTTTTGTCCTCATAATTATGTGGAAATTAATTTGACATTAAATGTGTCATTTGGTCGGACTAGTCTAGAGCAAATTTCAATGTAATAAAAGTGCTGAACAACTTCAAAATTAATGTAGTGGCCTGGTGTTTTAAGGTGTCAGCTCAAAACACGAAAGAAATTAAATGTTACCATGGTTATGTTAATGTGACTGATATCAGAGAACTTCATTTGCATACTAAATTTATGTGGTACAATGTTTACATCAACAGGAATAATACATAAAAGGCCATGTATCTGTTTCAGTAAAAGGATTGGCTGTTTTACATTGTGCAATCTCTAGCTCAAGGCCCCTTCCGACAATGCAATATTATAAGCACTGTAACTACAAGTAGTATATATAGGATTTGGATTGGTTGAACTGTGAGGACCACTTTGTTGTATGGATTTATTGTTGACAAGAAAGCTTAATGGATTAACTATTTGCGAGCCCCACAGACCTCTCTTATTTGTTACTGATACTAATAAGTTGTGCATGGATGAACAGGACTTCAGTCTCTCTCTTCTGGTTGTTGAAGTTCCATGCAATTTTCACTGAAACACACATAGATTAGGTATTTGGTAGAATTCGAAATATATTGGTCTGTATGTTTGTACGTAGGTTTAACTTGCGGAAGGGGCGGTCGGGTAGCCTAGTGGTTAAAGCGTTCGCTCGTCACGCCGAAGACCCGGGTTCGATTCCCGACATGGGAACAATGTGTGAAGCCCATTTCTGGTGTCCCCCGCTGTGATATTGCTAAAAGCGGCGTTAAACCATACTCACTCACTCACTCATTAACTTGCGGAGGGATAATAGATGTTGTAGGATTGAGGAGGGGTGACTGCCGAGCTAGAAAATGTACGGGGATTGGTGGGGAACACCCAAGCAAGTAGATGTACTGGGATGAGTAGATGTATTGGGTAGGGGATCAGCTGAGCTAGTAGATTAATAAGGAGAGGGACACCCGAGCTGGTAGATGTATTGGGTTGGGGATCAGCTGAGCTAGTAGATTAATAAGGAGAGGGACACCCGAGCTGGTAGATGTATTGGGTAGGGGATCAGCTGAGCTAGTAGATTAATAAGGAGAGGGACACCCGAGCTGGTAGATGTATTGGGTAGGGGATCAGCTGTGCTAGTAGATTAATAAGGAGAGGGACACCCGAGCTGGTAGATGTATTGGGTTGGGGATCAGCTGAGCTAGTAGATTAATAAGGAGAGGGACACCCGAGCTGGTAGATGTATTGGGTAGGGGATCAGCTGTGCTAGTAGATTAATAAGGAGAGGGACACCCGAGCTGGTAGATGTATTGGGTTGGGGATCAGCTGAGCTAGTAGATTAATAAGGAGAGGGACACCCGAGCTGGTAGATGTATTGGGTAGGGGATCAGCTGAGCTAGTAGATTAATAAGGAGAGGGACACCCGAGCTGGTAGATGTATTGGGTAGGGGATCAGCTGAGCTAGTAGATTAATAAGGAGAGGGACACCCGAGCTGGTAGATGTATTGGGTAGGGGATCAGCTGTGCTAGTAGATTAATAAGGAGAGGGACACCCGAGCTGGTAGATGTATTGGGTAGGGGATCAGCTGTGCTAGTAGATTAATAAGGAGAGGGACACCCGAGCTGGTAGATGTATTGGGTAGGGGATCAGCTGTGCTAGTAGATTAATAAGGAGAGGGACACCCGAGCTGGTAGATGTATTGGGTAGGGGATCAGCTGAGCTAGTAGATTAATAAGGAGAGGGACACCCGAGCTGGTAGATGTATTGGGTAGGGGATCAGCTGAGCTAGTAGATTAATAAGGAGAGGGACACCCGAGCTGGTAGATGTATTGGGTTGGGGATCAGCTGAGCTAGTAGATTAATAAGGAGAGGGACACCCGAGCTGGTAGATGTATTGGGTAGGGGATCAGCTGAGCTAGTAGATTAATAAGGAGAGGGACACCCGAGCTGGTAGATGTATTGGGTAGGGGATCAGCTGTGCTAGTAGATTAATAAGGAGAGGGACACCCGAGCTGGTAGATGTATTGGGTTGGGGATCAGCTGAGCTAGTAGATTAATAAGGAGAGGGACACCCGAGCTGGTAGATGTATTGGGTAGGGGATCAGCTGAGCTAGTAGATTAATAAGGAGAGGGACACCCGAGCTGGTAGATGTATTGGGTAGGGGATCAGCTGAGCTAGTAGATTAATAAGGAGAGGGACACCCGAGCTGGTAGATGTATTGGGTTGGGGATCAGCTGAGCTAGTAGATTAATAAGGAGAGGGACACCCGAGCTGGTAGATGTATTGGGTAGGGGATCAGCTGAGCTAGTAGATTAATAAGGAGAGGGACACCCGAGCTGGTAGATGTATTGGGTTGGGGATCAGCTGTGCTAGTAGATTAATAAGGAGAGGGACACCCGAGCTGGTAGATGTATTGGGTAGGGGATCAGCTGTGCTAGTAGATTAATAAGGAGAGGGACACCCGAGCTGGTAGATGTATTGGGGTGGGGATCAGCTGTGCTAGTAGATTAATAAGGAGAGGGACACCCGAGCTGGTAGATGTATTGGGTAGGGGATCAGCTGAGCTAGTAGATTAATAAGGAGAGGGACACCCGAGCTGGTAGATGTATTGGGGTGGGGATCAGCTGTGCTAGTAGATTAATAAGGAGAGGGACACCCGAGCTGGTAGATGTATTGGGTTGGGGATCAGCTGAGCTAGTAGATTAATAAGGAGAGGGACACCCGAGCTGGTAGATGTATTGGGGTGGGGATCAGCTGTGCTAGTAGATTAATAAGGAGAGGGACACCCGAGCTGGTAGATGTATTGGGGTGGGGATCAGCTGTGCTAGTAGATTAATAAGGAGAGGGACACCCGAGCTGGTAGATGTATTGGGGTGGGGATCAGCTGAGCTAGTAGATTAATAAGGAGAGGGACACCCGAGCTGGTAGATGTATTGGGTTGGGGATCAGCTGAGCTAGTAGATTAATAAGGAGAGGGACACCCGAGCTGGTAGATGTATTGGGTTGGGGATCAGCTGTGCTAGTAGATTAATAAGGAGAGGGACACCCGAGCTGGTAGATGTATTGGGGTGGGGATCAGCTGAGCTAGTAGATTAATAAGGAGAGGGACACCCGAGCTGGTAGATGTATTGGGGTGGGGATCAGCTGTGCTAGTAGATTAATAAGGAGAGGGACACCCGAGCTGGTAGATGTATTGGGGTGGGGATCAGCTGTGCTAGTAGATTAATAAGGAGAGGGACACCCGAGCTGGTAGATGTATTGGGTTGGGGATCAGCTGAGCTAGTAGATTAATAAGGAGAGGGACACCCGAGCTGGTAGATGTATTGGGTAGGGGATCAGCTGAGCTAGTAGATTAATAAGGAGAGGGACACCCGAGCTGGTAGATGTATTGGGTAGGGGATCAGCTGAGCTAGTAGATTAATAAGGAGAGGGACACCCGAGCTGGTAGATGTATTGGGTAGGGGATCAGCTGAGCTAGTAGATTAATAAGGAGAGGGACACCCGAGCTGGTAGATGTATTGGGTAGGGGATCAGCTGAGCTAGTAGATTAATAAGGAGAGGGACACCCGAGCTGGTAGATGTATTGGGGTGGGGATCAGCTGTGCTAGTAGATTAATAAGGAGAGGGACACCCGAGCTGGTAGATGTATTGGGTAGGGGATCAGCTGTGCTAGTAGATTAATGAGGAGGGCAAAACCCGAGCTGGTACATGTCAAGAAACCAGAGGAAATGGTTATAGATCTTAGGAAAGATAACTCATGTTTTAATCCAGTTGTTATTGATAATGAGGTGATAGAAATTGTAGACAAGTATAAATATCTGGGCACCATTATTGATTTAAAACTCAGATGCGATGCAAACAATGCTTACTACCAAAAGAAATGCGAATAGCATACATGTTGATTAATATATGAAGAATCACTCATATTCAAGAGATATTAGATTGGTTCGATGCAAAAGTGAACATACTGGTATGTTGTGTGAGCTGACGCTCTTGAATGCAGCACAAGTGATGTCGTAGGTCCATGACTCGAGATGCACCATTTGTCTCATGCAGGATTAGCGTGAAACGTTTGGAAATCACATGCAGCATATCATGATAAGAACAAAGACACTGTGGTGACATTTGACTGATTGTTAGTTTTGTCATTAAGTGGTACACATTGGAAACAACTCTTCCTAACTTACATACTTCTTAGTACTACTAAGAAGGAATGACACAGTTCTATTTTTTCAAATAAAAACATTTTAAATCAGAACAATATTCAGGGACTGGTCATATATTTTAGAGGTGTGTGTATCGGGTGGGGGGGGAGTGGGGGGGCGTGAAAAAATATTACATGTATCTCAGGGAAGGGGGCATGACAAAATGTTACATAAGGGGAATGTCCGCAAAATGTGATCCAATAAGGGGGGTCACCTTAGCTGATAGATGGGGGAGGGGGAGGGGACACCCAAGCTGGTGGTACTGGAATGGAGACAAAGAGTTATTTACATGTTGAATGCCTTCTGTTTCACAGTCTCATTCATTAAAGAATTGAGAATACTACAGGACAGCTGAGTAGAAGAGGTCACTGTGAAGTGGACCGGCATATTGGACAACATGGAGGACATTAAGAGACGCCTGGAGGTGAAGCATCCGGCAATACAGATACAGGTAGGAGATCCTTGTACTTCAGTACCAATAACCCCATCATCATCAGCAGTATCATCATCATCACCATCATCATATCATCACCACAGATACATGGAGGATGTGGTCCTGTTCTCAGCACCCAGGTCACAAATCAGGTGAAGTCAAGCAATGCGGTCGCAGAGAGTCCTTGGATGGGTGACAAGATTTTCTAGGGCTTCGGTCCTGCCCCATGCTGAAGAACATGTTGTGTCTCCTTGGGCAAATGACTTGTTAGAAGTTTGCCTCTGTCCACCTAGCAGTGAATGGGTACCCAGTAGGATGAGATGGCAAAATGGTTGTTAACCTTATAGCTCCTAACAGGCAGCTTGAGTTTTATACTCCCTAGGGAGCTGAGAATGATTCTTAGTGCACGTTGATCCAGTGACCGGGGTGATAATAGCACTTAAAGCATGCCCCAGTGTGGTGTGGAAATATGTGCAATATAAATAGCTTATTATTATTATAGGAGATCCTTGTTCTTCATGTTACTTTCTGAAAGGATTGTTATTCACTTGAACATCATCATGTTATTGTTAACCACCAATATTTTCTCTGTAAGCCACAGATAAGAGTTCCTTGGCTTTGATGCAGACGATTTACTAGAAGGAATTGTTGCTTATCAAGTTAATCAACATCAGCTGCTTCTTGCAAAACTGCATCCGTGCAGAGAACGGAAGGCCCAGGGTTGGAACCCCGGCCGTGTCATACCAAAAGATGTTAAAAATGGGTACTTGTTGTTACCCTGTCTGGCGCTCAGCATTAAGGGACTAAAACAAGGACTTGTCGACTCGGAGTCAGTATACTGTGTCTGAGTGGGGTATTCATGCTAAACTGCAGCATGGTATCTCAGTGGGCTAGCACTCTAAATCGGCATCAGACCGGGCTAGTACATGCAGCCTGACACACACACACATGTCCATGCACGTTGCTACTTAAGTGCAATAATCTTGGACGCGACGATAAACTCCGTGATATTGTTGAAATATTGCTGAAAGCGGCGTAAAACCATACTCACTCAGCCACTAAACCCATGTTACCTCATCTCACATCATGCAACACCAACAACTGAAACAAAGTTATCTTCAACTTTACATTTGTCTTGATTTTCTTACCGCAATTTACCATGTTTGTAAAGCCCATTGCCTTGTTAATATATACGATGCCATTATAATTAATGATGGGGCATGGATATCCATGACATCAGTGAAGTTATTTTGTGTTTCCCTGAGATTTTTGAAATATTTTCAATAAATTCTCATTGGCTAGTCGCACTTGTGGTGTTAATAATAATAATAATAATAATAATAATAATAATAATAATGATAATGATAATAATAATAATAATAACAATAATAATAATAAAAGTAACACTGACCTAACAATATATTAATTACATTGATGTTTTGTCATCTGTAAACTTTCTTAATTTTCTCACAAAATGGTTAAACACCACTCTACCTTTACATTTATATATTTCCAAATTCCATGTACCCTCTGGAATATCTACAGATACCTGCTGAAACCTTGAAACAGGAACACTATAGGTTTGTTAGGGGTGTCTGTTACAACAGTACTGCGGTAGTATTACCTGTAATGGTTTACCCGCAGGGTTCAGAATTATACATTGCTCCTCAAACCAAAATAGCCCTAATCTGAAGTTGCTAATCATTGCTGTTCAAAACACAGCAGATTTGAAATTTGACTGTAGAAAGAGTTGTCGAACACATTTTTATTTTTTTAATGAATTAAACAATTTAAGCTTTCGATTGTTCTTATACTATCGACAATACCAAAAATCAATTACAATAATCAAAAACGATTATTTTTCATCAGAAACCTAATACAGTATACAACACTGGCTATTTTATGTGGAACAATAAAGTAAGGTGAGCAAAACATTTTTTTGATGTGTATGATAATAAAACTTACTGTTAACTTGGATTTCAGATTTTCTGTCTGTCGGTAATAAATGGTGAAAGTCTCCCGCAAAGGCGCAGGACTTACAAATAATTCACTCGGTAAATAATCCATAATTCCCCATATGATGTAAGGTATTTCTTATTGCTAAGTAACCAAGTAGTGGTGTGATGTACATCCCCTGGGGTATCAGCTTGCAGGGGGTGGGGCGGGGCAGGTGGGAGGATGATGTAAGGTATTTCTTATTGCTAAGTAACCAAGTAGAGCTGTTATGTACATCCCCTGGGTATCAACTTGCAGGGGGTGGGGCGGGAGGAGGGGTAGGGGACAAAGGAAAACCCTGGCAGCAGGTGACAGTTTGCAGATCTGCTAATTGATTTCACATGATGTGTGACACAGGCTTGGTCAGCTGAACATGCTGGGGCTGGTCTGGGCCAGGTGGTGCAGACATTGTGGCCACAGAGCTCCAATTTGCTGCATATTTATATCACCATTACACAAATCTTTTGGGGCTGCTTGCCTACAAATAGGCATTAAGAATTTAAAAAGGCCTATCCTATAACAACATTGTTCGTAATTACCCAATGTGTCCTTATCAACTTACATAGCCCAGAGGCCATAAAATGAATCTATTTTATGGTCACTGCATACCTTTATGACGTTTCAGATCTTTGTTTACTGAAAACAGGCATCACATACACCTGCTTATGATTTGGCAACACAACTTGATTAATGATCATATGCTCAAACAACAACACAACTTGATTAGTAATCAAAACTTTTATAGGTGATATGTGTTCACTCAAAATTCATTCAGATTCCATCTTCAACTTCAGAGCTTTTGAGCTAGAGAGCATTCACCTGTCAGGAATAGACTATAATCCCTCAGCCCTAATCTCCTAAATCCTCCTGAATTACAGTTTTGGGCTAACTGGAAAGACCCCTACTATGACATTGGTATGTAAATATTCAAGTCTGGACCAGACAATCCAGTGTTTGACATCATGATCATCCAAGTCAACCAAGTCAGCGAATCTGACCACCCAATCATGTTAGTCAAATCTTACGACAAGCATGGCTTGCTGACCTATTCCAGCCCGGATCTTCATGGGTCACCTGTATATGGACTTTTAGTATACTGCAGTGAATAATGCACAGAAGTTCTACGTCTTGCTTATAGTCAGAGTTGCGTCCCTTCGGCATGCCAGAAACCTATAATTGTGGGTTTGAATCCAGGTTCGCCCCGATTATGTTTCGAGGTTTGTCAGCACCATACCCGTGCTCGTGGGTTTCACCGAAATGGTAAACCTCTGAGACCTGCATCACTTCGTGCTTTCCTCCCACATTAAGCCTACACGTTGTGATATAACTGGAATAATGTCAAAAGCGGCGTTAAACCCAACTCACTCACTCACTCTTGCTTATAGTAAGTTAGAATTATATCCCTTTCATTATTCCTGCCATATGTGACACATAGGGCAAACACATGAACAGATGCAATCAGAGTCACCGGAAACAGCGCTGACAAGCAGACTGCAGTACTCTTAGACAGGACATGGTCCAAGGAAGCAAGATGTATTCATTCCCCAAAGAAAATTATGTAATGATAACATGTCAGTCAATACTCAATCTCTCCCGACATTATCTGGAGCCCTGGAGCCAACATTTGGTCAGCATTGACGTTCTTGTTAGTTCCCTTTGTTATATTAGAATACTGAACCTCGTTTGTGACTCCTGTGACATTGCTCATGATGTGAGTCACTGGATTGTCTGGTTCAAGCTTCATTATTTACATGCTGCTGACATTTAGCTGGGTTATTGGGTTGACATTCTTTCTAACACTCACTGTGAATCTTGTTAATTCTTTCTGTTACACTGAGTCAGTGATGAGCATTTATCATCCAAAACTGGCTCCCACAGGGGATAATGCTTGCGTGATATCAAGCGATATCTATACTGTAGATATCGCTGCAATGAAATTGCATCACAATGCTTTGCAGACCATTGTGACGTCATTGGTTACCATGACGTCACAATCAAATGACATCACTAATGGCTCTGCTACTAAATCTGTTAGCAGTACTTTTTACACTTAAGACACTGCTTATTACTTTCTACAAACTGGAAAAGTTGGAAGAATGATGTTGGATGATAAATAAAATCTCACCCTCGTGTCTTTTGATATCAAATATATCAACACTCGTTGATAAAAGTGGAAAAATATCCTTGGCAAGCCTCGGAGTTTTCCCACTTTTATCAACTCGTGTTGATATATTTGATATCAAAAGACACTCGGGTGAGATTCTCTATTTAATTTTTTCTTCTAAGATACCTGCATGTCTTTTTAGGTTCTTAATGATTTAGTCTATCTGTTAGAACTGTCAACTGTAAATTGTCACTGTGCCAGGTATTTGGCCATCCTCTCAGTGAAAAAGTTGGCTAAGGAACCATAGATAAGAGCAATGCAGGTATCGTGATACGATCGGATCGTTGGTGTATCATCCCAGCCCAAACTACAAGAGAGTTATACAGGGAAATAACAATGTGTGTCAACATGAGATAAGACATTCTTGAATTTGTTTATCACATGAGTAAACCCTTCATCTTTAAGGAAACATAATTTCAATATGTCAGTGTGCTAAATATTGAGGAAATGTGTAAGCACTTGTTTAATTTAAATAACCAGGGGTTTATCTTGGATTCCAAACTAAGTGACCTTGGCAGGCAAATTGGGGAAAAAATTGCTATTTATTTCAAGATTCCGGTTTTGTTGAAGTCCTCATTTTCAAAGGTTATTAGGGGCGGTCGGGTAGCCTAGTGGTTAAAACGTTCGCTGGTCATGCCGAAGACCCGGGTTCGATTCCCGACATGGGTACAATGTGTGAAGCCCATTTGTGGTGTCCCCCGCCGTGATATTGCTGGAATGTTGCTAAAAGCGGCGTTAAACCATACTCACTCACTCACTCATTCATGCTACGGTTTTGCATGGTGAGAAGTGTTTTGGTCATATTCATGATGTGAGTAATAATAACTAGTGTCTCAAAGGCTCCATAGACAATTATAAA